AAAGTATGTGTCAGATTGCTTATTGCGTATATTAAATACTAAGACTAGACCAATCGTTCTATAGAGGTGGGAAGCGGCTAGAAGCGTAGTGGATGAAGTCAAAATCACAATGTTGGTCTCCGATTTTCCCTAGCTAACTTAGCTGCAACACTTACTGCTTGACTTACGATTACCCTTATATTTATATTTTATAAAAGTGATTCAGAGACTATAAATGGTACACAACTAGTTTGCTTTACATTTTGTCTGAACATCTGCAAGTTGAGGGTTGAGTTTACATTTAGATCTGCTATTTGCCATTTCAGATTCCACTGTCCATTATATGTCGCAAGATAGAAGTAAAGTATGGAGCGAGGTGGGGAAATATCATCGTATGGTCGTCTCTCATCGTAGGACAGCCGCTCTGTATCATGATGTACTACCACGACTACGTCATTACCCACTTCGGCAAAGCTCTCTTGGAGTCTTACGCAAAACTGTAATGTGAAACAGCTCACTTGTGTCAGCAATAAAACGGAAACCGTCTAACAGACCTGCGTTGGAAATAAGTTGTCAACACTCAAAGGTTTGAAAATGTCACGAAGGTAAGCGATAAGGGAAGAAGTGTTGGCATATTTTTTTCTGTCTGTTGGCCGGTTTATCTTAGTTGCGATTAGATACACTATTTAGTTACCTGATTTAGTGCAGTTTATGCAACGGTGTAGTTTTAATATATTAAAGTTTTGTAACGGTTTTGAAATTCCAGCCGCACCATTGGCTATCAACTCAAGACTGAGGACACATTCCAATATATATAAATATGTTTATGTATCCACAGAACGTAGTTTAGTGTGTTTTCAGCAATAAGTATGTTTTACATGATGAAATCTTGCCATTGCTGGAAATTCAGGCTTTAAAATCTGTGATTTTCTCTTAGGATTGATGATCAAAAGTAGACATTCCTTTTGTGTACATTTTCCTCAACTCTTATATTCTATCACTTTTGTATGACATTTTTCATTTTAGAGTTTTTTTTTAGGTGTTAGTTTTAGGTAAGGAAAGCAATTATGGAAACTGTAACTTATCATTCCAATAATGTACAAAGTTGTTGATGATTTATATTTTTATATATTTTGCACCTTTACATATTTAAGTGTACCTCATATATTGGTGTTTTTACCACATTTCTTATTTTAAATGTTAAGTGCCAAAGACCTAATGGATGTAAGTATATCAAAATGTCACCAGATCAAAAATCTAATGGATATATATCAAAATGTCACTAGATCAAAAATCTCATATTTTTGTCATTTTGTAAATTGTTAATATTTTATAAAAGATATTTATATTCTTGTTAAAACATATTGTATGGTCATATATTTATATAGATTGTTAATATATTCAGACAGTAAATCAAAATAGTTGTGCTATGAATTTATTTTTTACCTAGTTGGGCAATCTCTTGCTTGGATTAGAAGTATATATTACCTTGATCAAGTTATTTTTAAAACATATAAATTGGCTTTGATGTTTCGATCTTCAGTCGATTAATATGATAGCTTAATAAAGTTACACTACTGAGGGACCGAGCCGTGGCTCGGTTTAGTTTATTTGGATTGTAAAAGGAGTATGAAGGAAACTCAAGTTTTATTTACAATTAATTTTGGCTTTTATTATTTAAGTTTCAGTGGAATTTATATTATTAAGATGGAAATTTTAACCTGGCAATCCACAACACATTAATTTATTTTACATTCGGCGGTAAAAATCACTTGTTTATACTATCCTTTACTTGCATAAATATTGTTTTAAAGTTTGTTTAAATTAAAACAGCTGATTGAAAATTGTTGTTCACATTCTAATTTACAGTACATAAAATAAATGCAATATTTTAAAATATTTATTTCATTGTTAAACCAAAGTTAGCTAACAAAATTGCCTCAGTACTTCAGGTATTAAGTTTTGGTAGGAGAGAGCCAAGTAAAATAATCAGTACAGTATTTGATCAGAACTAATTTCCCTATATTGAAAAAGTTATAGTGAAATAGTAATCTTCAGTTTAATCTTTGCTCAATAGTTACAACTAATGTTTTCCCTTTGTACTGTATTTTGTAATTTGCTAGTATATTGTGGATGGCTTGTTATAAACACATGTGACAAGTCTCATGATAACGTTTTCTTTGTTATTTTGTTCAATCGACATAGTTACTTGGCAACCCTCAAGGCCAATGTTATATTTTTAAATTTTCAAATGAGTTGTGTAACGAAATACAAATTTATCCCAGGTAGTGGCTGTCACTAATAACGTTTTAGGGCCATAAGTCCCTACTTCCAAAAATTGAGTTAAAATTCTTCTGCTGGATTTTGAGATATTACAGATAGAAAGACAGACAGACGAATATACATACCAATAAGCGTCTTCAATTATGTTCAATATAAAGGATCAAATAAATTCAATATTTTGTGGAGTGCTTTAATATTTATGAGATAATTATTTAAATCTATGAAAATTCAGTTTGATTGCTGTATAATTGCTCATTCAGTGTGTTCCAACCCAAATACGTATTTATTTATATTCATTAGTATAAGTTATAGATAACCTGAAAAGTAATTTTTTTTATTTTAATTTTGGGATTCAATTTGGTAAAAAAGTACATATCAAATAAAGTAGGCCTAGTAATTAAAATATTACTACTGATTTACCAAATACTGAATTGCTATAAAGTTAGAAGAATTCTAAATATTAGTTTATTGATTTTTTATCGTGCTTTTGACAAAAAAACTTAAACCTTGATGTTTTAGTGCAAGATCCTTTAATTCAGTTAAAAACTACAAGAAATAATAACTCAACTGTTGGGTCAAGTAAATTATATTTTGTAAATGAGAATCAAAATAATGATATTATTTATGAAAGTAACATAGGCCTAAACATTATTTTTTAGATTCTTTCTAGAATCAAGCAATCAATGAATCACAATCATTTCATGCCATAGTAGTGGCATTGAACTCCTTAACTACCTATCAATGATTAGAAATAGGTATGATTTTTGTTGTAGATTTGATCTAAGTGCTAACTATAAGTCTGATATTTTGTACATGGATGAGGTTATACATTAAATAGTGTGTGTTTATACTTAAATAAACATAACATTGTTGATTTATAAAATTTGTATTTCATTCTGCCTTTTCCCAGAATTTTATCTCTTTTCAGACCTTGGAAGATAGGAAGGTATAGAGGGTTTTACATAATATAAAACAACCATCTGTCAATCCCATTTAAATTTCCATTAATTACACCTATCCATTTGCAAGCTTTTGATTTTGCGAGTAGATTTCGGAACTTCGGAATAATAAGTCAAATCAAGGTAAGAACTGTATAGCGGTCTGAACTGCTATTATTTTAATCGCCATGAAATTTGAAATGTGAAAAATGCAACCTCATTCTTCTAAACATATTTTACCAATAAATTTATGAGACATTTATTTGATATTTAATTTAATATTTATTTAATGTCAAATTAAGTGAGGTTGAACCTAAATTGACCATTTATTTGATATCAAATGAATGTTCGTGAATATAAATTTAATATCCGAATGTCAAAAATGTGATATCAATATTTATCACCATCATATTTAAAATGCGAATGTAAATTCAATCATATTCTCTTTATCATATTTTACCAATAAATTTATGAATGTCAAATTTGATATTTATTTTATATTCTATTTGAATATTCATTTGATGTAAAATTGAGTGACGTTTGAACCTAAATTGAACGTTTATTTGATATCAAATGAATGTTCGTGAATATCAATTTGATGTTCAAATGTCACAAATTTGATAGCTATTTGATATCAAATAAATATTCGGTGCTATGTGGGCTTAAAGCACTTCATCCAAAATAAAATTATTGCGCCCAATGAATGCCTGTACCTTCCCAATTATTTCATCCTCAGGAAGATATCTACCTCTAGCCATATTCCCAAGAGTTATCAGTCTAGCGTCAGAGAGCTCGTTACAATCAAAGAGTAAGTGATCAGCTGTTTCTTCTGACCTATCACAGTACCTATACAGATCGGTTCACCATCATATAAGCCCATCCGTTGTAAATGTTTCCTGAATCGCCCATGACCAGTTATCAGTTCAACAGTTAATTTAATTCTTCGTCTGTCATCTAGTCTTAAGAGGTCAGAGGCAACCTTTTTGGAAGGCCTAAACAGAGTAAGCTTACTGACCCTAAGAAGGGGAACATCGACCCAGCGTTTGCGATACTTTTCCTTGGCCCATGACACAATCGCAGAACATGCGCTGTTTCATGAGATGCCACAGAAGGGTTTGTGGGCCTATCATAGTTGTCGCAGAGGCAGTGTTTGCCAATCTATCTGCAGCTTCATTACCTTTTATGCCTGAGTGTCCTGGCACCCAGCAAAGCGTAAGATCATTTCTCCTACCCAACTCAGACACAGAAGCAAGACAGTCCCACTTGAGCCTGGAGTTGAATTCGTAAGAGTGTAGTGCTTTTAAGGTCGCTTGACTATCAGTGTAGATATTGATTGTTTTGTCTCTGATCTCTTTGTTAAGATGTTCACGAGCACAAACCAAGATGGCAGTGACCTCCGCTTGAAAAACAGTTGGGTACACCCACATGGGAAGACAAATGCCAATGCCTTCATTTATCCAATGCCCCCACCTGCTCCAGTGCTCCAGTGGGGACATGGAGCAGGTGTGCATTGGATAAATGAAGGCATTGGCATTTGTCTTCCCATGTGGGTGTACCCAACTGTTTTTCAAGCGGAGGTCACTGCCATCTTGGTTTGTGCTCATGAACATCAACAAAGACTACTTACGTGGTGTAGGGGTTACCGTGATCAAGTGTACTATATATTAGTTTTAATAATAGAAAATGAGATATTCTCATCTGTAAAACAAGAACTTTGACCTCCTGTTGATATTTGTGGTGAAACTGTGATTTTGAGTCAAAACAGGCTAGATAAGACTTGTAGATAACAACACAAGTCAGATGTCCCAGTCTGTTATCATGCTGTCAAGCTACTTTACATTGTTTGGATTAGCTCTGATAACCATATTTCAGGTATGTAAAACCGCTTAAAGTTAATTTTTTATTTATTATTTTGGTAACTGTGATGAATAAATATTTTTAAATCAATTGAACTTATCATAGATACTTGTTGAAACATTTTTTTTTCATTTTTTTTCATTTCAACAGGTGCTCGTTTTCGAGCAGGTGTGTGACAGAGATGACTATCTCAGTCTCTGAAGGGCCAAGGTCATAAGAACACTGACCTCCAGGTTAAAGGGCATTCTTCAGACTTCATTCAATGCGGCGTCTTTTGTTGGATTTAAAAGGTCTTTGAAAAGGAAATTACTGCGGATGTCTGATTTTTATAAACAGGTTTTTTAAACTTAGGTTTATCGCTCTAAAATATTTGTGGTTATACAGAACATTTTACAGATCACAGACTGGGACGGGTGGCGTCGTCCTGTAATCCAGCTACTAGGAGGTCACGAATTGTGGATATTTATAGGGATGCACTGTGGATGCGATGCTCACTGGTGTGGATTAACGTCCGCACTAGTGAGTACTACGACTATCCGCAGTACTATCCTGATAATTAGACCAATTCGTAAATTACAAGGAAAAATGTGGTTCGGATTCCACTATAAACTGTAGGTCCCTTAGTTGCCATTAGCTGTATGGGCTATTAATTAACAGCTGTGTCTAAGGAACATGTCGGCCTTAGTCACTAACAAGACTACAAGATCGCGCCACTCATCCTACACTCATCCTTCACTCATATTTGGGTTAAAATACGCACATAGTGGCGTCCCCATCTTAAATAATTGATAATTGATTGATTGATAATTGAATGAATATTTTTAAATCAATTGAACTTATGATAGATACGTGTTGAAACATTTTTTTCATTTTTACACAGTGTAAGTGTATACATGTTGAAAGTGTTGTAAGACATATTTTATTTTATTCCTATACATCACCAATACATGTATTGGTGTAATGTAATGTTCAAGAAGTTATTTAATCGATTTAAAACTGTTGGTTTTATTTTTCTTGTGGCAAACAGGAATTTTTGTTCCAAGTCATGGCTAAGAAATTGATTTAAAAAATATTATAGCCTACTATAAAACATGAATGAATTCATATTTAGTAAATGTTTAGAGTCAATTTCAAAGATAATGTTCTATTTTTGGACTTTCAAATTAATGGTGTTGATGTTTGTACAAGTTTTCTGTAAACAATAATGAAGGTTCATTATCTCAACACTGGTAGTTCTTATTTGTGTAGGGATTAAAAGATGTCTTAGTTGTGTTCCCTCTTAGATAAGTCATTAACAAACCTTAACCATGTAATAATTATGTGTAAATAAAAATTTTTGCTTGTCACTCTTAAAATGTATTTATGTCCAAATAGTATATGTTTGAAAAACAATTAAATATCTATGCTAGTATGTTTCAAATTATGAGAAAAACATTTGTTTCACCTTTGTTCAAAAGAAAAATGCTTTCCCATTAAGCTTAAACAAATCTGAAAAGAAACATAAGAAAATCAAATTTGTAATCCAAAAGTGCCAATAAAGTAAACAAAATGCAATGAGTTGTGTGTTAAATGATATTTGCTGTAAAACTATGTATAACAAATTACAGTGTATTTGAATGTGTATTTGAGTTTAAAAAATACAACTTATTATCATAAACTTATTATAACTTATTGCCATAAGCTAACAGGTTTGTGAACTAAGAATTGTATTGGTATAGTTTATTATTACTTTTAAAATTATAAATTTTTGGATTTATTGGGTGCCTATCAATCATCTGCACTTAATTATAAATTTTTTAATCAGTAAATCTTAATGACAAAAGGACTGGTTATTTCTTATATGTAGATTTGGCTCAAAGTTAAAATATTTATTTGTGACTCCTCTAAAGTATAAATATTTTAATCTATCCGATTGGTGATTAAATTGGAAATTAGTCACCATTCAATATAACAACGTCTTCACCTAGGAATAAATATTCTCAAATATCTTATTGATGATTTCTTAGCACCATGGCTAGATTGGAGACAAATCCATCATTGGGTCTTATCTGTACAGCAAACCATACATAACATTTTAATGACTGCATTTGACTTAATTACTTAATGGGATAATAGTCAACTGCCTAGTCCTATTCTTTCATTTATTTCCTGATCTCTTTTTCTATCTATCAAACAACCTTTAAGGAAAAAGGAAAATGCAGAGAAGATTGTGCACACTAAAATTTAAGCCGGTGAGCCATGGACGTAATTATAATAAAAATATTAGTAAAATTGAAATTCAATCCATGAAAATGAGAAGAAAATAGAAAACAGAGACAAAATCAGAAACATAACTATATGTTTATATATTGTGGAAACTACAAATAGGGACTGTCAAACAGAAACATTTTGAGAGTGTTAATTAACATTACTTTAGTTTTAAGAAACTACAGCTGTTTCATGCCTTACATTGGCAGGTTTGGTGAACGCCAGCTTTTCTATAAAATATCCCTCGGAGATGAGTTCGTCATGGTTTTACGAAAAACATGTAGACACACGAAAACACCCACGAAACATATACACACTAATAATTAAGAAACGACTGCGAAACGTGATGCGGCGCCGGTGATGGATAAGTCGCGACTGGACTGGAGTGGAGAACTCATCTCCGAGGGATATTTTATAGAAAAGCTGGCGTTCACCAAACCTGAGGATGTGCCAATGTAAGGCATGAAACAGCTGTAGTTTCTTAAAACTACCGAGGATCGGAGACAGAAGCCAGGTAATATAAACCTTATTAGTGCTAATTTTAACGATCCAGTGGCCAACCATCATGAAGTTACTTTAGTTGATGTTTATGTAATTTGTATAGGATACTTGCAGTGCATACAAAGATGCATACAGTGCAGTGGTTGTGGAATATTCTCCACCTCAAGACCCATCAATAGACCCTGGCACCAACATCCTCAACAATGTTATGAACTATGTCCACATCACCAACATCGCTAATGAAAACTTCTTGGTAACACTATTTTTTAAAGACAGGGACAAAATAATGTTTAGCCTTTATGTATATTTGAAAATTATTCTTCTCATAACTTTTGATTTATCCACATGCTGCTTTGTAAGTTGTTAAATGTTGTTTTAAGTCAATAAATACTACCAAAAGCCCTCATCTAAACTAATGAATTCAACATGTTGCAGGACACATAATCTAGGTAAATTTTCCCATTGTATCGACAATTGTTATTAAAATTATGTTTACATTAAATCCAGAAAATGTAAACATCATTAATTAATTTTCAATTGTTGATTCAAATATACATTAATAAAAGATTCAATCTTGCTAAGATTAGATTTAAATTTTCACATATTTAACTTAACTATGTAACTATGTTTTATTTTTATTGTATTGCACAGGGAACTATAGATTTTTTTTGTAAAAAATAAAGGGAAAGGGAAACATTTTTATTGCTATGAAAATTTTTTTGCAGGGTATGGTTTCCACATCAGTATAAACTCATTCATGTTTCGTTTCAATGTACTCTACTTTTTACAAAAGATGGACAATCAACATGGACCTATTTTCTAGGTAATTTGCCAATTTTCTGCTCAGGAGGGTGTGATTAAATATACCAAAGAAATCATCTTTTGTATATTTCATAAGATGTTGTGGTCTCAATTCTAACTCATTATTGTAGGTAATCCAAAATACTCTGATTGATTGTTTTTTTCACCACTCAATGTGTTTATAACTTATGTTACAGCCAAATATTATTGTGTTCCCGGAGATTGGTTTAAAAGGTTATGGCAACCAAGAACAATACCTGTTTATTCCAGACCCTGATGACAAAGTGAGACCATGTGCTTACAACACTACTTATGAAGCAGTGAGTATACACTCTTTTAAATAGGTACACAAAGTATTTTACAATAAATTGATGATAAATGCATGTTTTAAACGGAATAGTTTGGAATAAAAATATTATTTTTTACACATTGAAGAACAATGATTATGCAATTGATTTAAACAGTTTTTTTATTGATAAGAAGCAGATTCATGATGGTTATATTGAAGTGACATTATTTAGCCTTTTTGCGGCAGGGCCATCCTCAGAAGAGAAATGGAACACTACTATTCATACTAGGGTGTACTGTGTAATACTTTTTAATTTTTGTAAAGAAATAGTTGACCTATTTTAACCTTGTTAAAATAGGCCTGTCCACATGAGCCTCTGGCATATGCATGAAACTTACCAGGACAGCAAAGGGGGAGCCGGTGCAGTACAATAAGTGAACTGTACTTGTTACATTGGCTACACCAGTGCACAAACCAACAACACTACCTTGGATTTGTAGTTGGTCAAGCTAATACCAACTCAAGCAGTAGTAATATAGGAACAGGATTCCATTTCTGCTAGTATAAAGATGGCAATCTGCAATGAATCTAAGCACGCCATGTTGATGATGACACGTACTATGTTGAAGACCACGAAATGTAACATTTGTTTGGGGAAATCTCAATTATTTTACCTTGGAAGCCCAAATGCTGGGGTGTTCTTCCCCAAACATCACAACAAAAATTAAACTATTTCTAAATAAATAGATAACGGTTAAACCTATACAGTGTGAGGGTTGTCAAATGTAACCAGAGTTTTTCTTCTTATTGTTTACGTCAGTAGCATTTACTGTAAGGGAACAACAAACGCAATTAAGAAAAAAGTGATACAAGTCACAAACTAATCAAACTTTTGGGGATACGGCACAGAAACAGGGTTGCCACCCGTCCCGATTCTGTCAGGACAGTCCCGACTTCGTGCCTTATGCCCGTGTTTATGCCTAAGTTAATCCAGGAGAAGAGGGGGCACGTACCGATTTTTCCCTAACCAAAGGTGGCAACCCTGTGCAGAAACCCGTCCCTCTTGCTCCAAAATCCAGGACGTTAACCACTGGGCTAACAACTCACCCCACAGAGATGTTAGAGTTGTATACGTTTAAGAGGCTTGTTTTAGTAACCGAGTTAAAACAGTATTCCCCTTTGTTTTACAGCCATTAGTGCAGCTGTCTTGTATTGCTCGGGCCACGGAGACTTACCTGGTAGTCAACCTGGGAGAGAAATATTTCAACATCTCTCAGCAAAAAAACGTTTACTTCAACACTGACGTTGTGTTTGACTCGACTGGGACAATCATTGTGAGGTAAAAAAAAATGTATTTATTTACTCTACCCAAACTTTGAGGCAAATTAACTATGTAGCTTAACCATTTACTCAGTGTAAATTTCTAGTTTTCTCAACTTTTTGATTGTGATGTATAAGTTTTTTCATTATTTGTTTTTTAGTTAAAGAGTGACTATAGATTTTGTATTATTAGTGGCAATCCTACTGCAAAGGAATTTTGAAATAACCTGAACTGCCACTCACTGTCGACTCACTATACACAGAGACCATCATTAGTCTGAGTGGCGATCAAAAGACAAGACAGAGAACTTTATGGTATAGTAGTGATTGCAGTGATGAAAATATTTTTAGCCTCAAACCTGTAATATTTGGCTCACTAGATAATAGCTATCACAAACTCAGAGAAGCTATCACTACAATCCTGAGAAAAGTCAATAGCTTTTTGATGGTTTGAAACTAGACACAGCTGTCCTTGATCGTTATGCTTTAAATAACAGGTTGTGGCTAAAGAAACCGGGATTAGTTTGCTAAAAAAATTAGAATCAGCAGCATGGCTTGGACAGTAAAATCACCACATTGCATGCCTCATTTCATTCTACTCATATCCTCCACTCAAATTCGGGCCATACAGCTCTTGAGCGGGAATGACGTACTTTGCGCTCTTAATACACAAATAGCTATAAAAGTTAATGAAATTAAATATTTGTCAATATTATTATATTTTGCTAACCAATATAAACATATTTTTGCTGTAGGTACAGAAAAATCCATTTGTATGGAGAAACAGGAAAGAGCCCTTCACCAAACAAAGAACTTGCATACTTTGATACAAATTTTGGAGTCAGGTTTGGGATATTCACTTGCTTTGACATAATATTTGAAGACCCTGGCGTTATTTTGGCCAATGAGTTCAACATTACTCATTTCATATTTCCTACGGCTTGGTTTTCTGAGATGCCTTTTCTTACAGGTATGAAATGAATTCACAATTTTTTAATTTTTAACATTTTGTTATTTCTGTTAATTGAATAAAGCTGTTTTGCCTTTTGGGTTTATTGCTGAAAACTTTTACTCATCATTACCTTTGAGCCTCCAAGGCTCATATATTGGTAAAAAAGAGTTACACAGCCAAACTTTAACTCACAACTATGACAAACTATGTAAGGAACTAAGCAAAACTGTTTCAAATTGTATTTAACTTGTGCTACGACCTGAGAGTCATTATGAGGACTTTTAACTTCAGGCTTTTGTCGACCACAGTACTCTTAGTTCAGCTAACCACAAGCGGTCTGACTGAGTCTTCTTTGTACAAGAAACAAATAGTAAACAACAATCAGTCCTGTACATAAACCAGTTGGACCTAACCTTAAACTTTCTTCAGCTGACCCATACAGACCTATAATCTAGTTGTACTTTCCAGCCATTCAGGAGCAGTTTTACTGGTCATACTCTCAAGACGTGGTGTTACTGGCCTCTGGTTACAATGATCCGTCGGTTGGCAGCTCTGGTACCGGAATCTACCTTGGACGTCGTGGCCCAGTAGCCTACAACATGTCAGAGGCCAGACAAACATTTATGCTACAAGCCGACGTACCTAAGAAACTCCGATCAGGTCAGTTGTATTTTAATGGCTCTAATTTTTCAAACTAAAATTAATGACTAGTCTCAATTTTGATTATCCGATCTTCGGCTATCCCACTTTCTGTGTTTTCCAACCCTCTTTATGGATGATAGATTACCATAAGATTGCACGGTATATCTGTGTGGTTATACTGTACACTGTTGAGACCACCCCTTTCACCACCTCTTACTGTATAGTAATTGGATTGGCTTAAAACACATGAACTTGATTGTAATTTTCCCTGAATATCTTGCATTGCATGCCACCATGTTTCTCGTCCACCCCTCACATATTAGTATCATGCAGTTGATATTAAGGCCAAATGAACGTTAATTGCTTTATGTATTTTACTATAGCAGTAATCGTGATTGTAGTTTGTTCTAGAGGTGATAGCTGCAAAAACTTGTTCAGTTTAGTCATTGAAGTCAATGGTTTATTTTGTACTTATTACATAACATTTGCATGATTATAAACGTTTGATTAGGAACAGTTTCAATTTGAATAAATATAGTTTAAACATTTTACAGATATTTCAATTACTATCCAACCTTGACGAGGCAAGTTTAGGTAAAAAAAATTAAAACCGTACTCAATTGCACTTTTGTTCTAAAAAACTTTTTGTAAAATTCTCCTACAGTTTTTAGTAGATGATTAAAATTGGTATTAGAATAGTATGTCTTTGAGTAAACTATCAACGATCTGGCCTCATTTACAGTCTTAGCATTGAAAGATATTAATTTGGTAATACTGACAATGTGTTTTAAGCCATGAGTAGGGGATGAATGTGCAGTTGTGCAGCTTAATACATTTCTGATAAAGCAAGTTTATGTCACAGGTTATGATCCTAAATTAAAAGTTTAAAGTCTAACTGTGTATATCTTTCATTTTTAGTCCATAATTCTGGAAGTACAAAAATACGAATTTATATTAAAAATGTTTTCAGGACTAGGCACTGAAGAAGGCAAGGAATTATTATCCGAAATATTAATTCTGGATGATGAAATGGAAGAAACCAAGTCAACATTTCAGGATACACCTGAAAACACTAATAAAATAAAACTAAAACTAGAAAAAGCTCTGAAAATGTATACAAACAAAAGTATAATTCCTCCTGAATCACCAATTCACATTATTGATGGGAAGAGTTTCTATGTTGACTTTACAGTTAATGAGTATATCTGCCAAAACAGCTTGTGTTGTCTATTCGACCTAGCTATCAGAGCGGTTTTTAGTAAATCCCACCAAGAAACCACAAGAGGTGATGATTATTCACAGATGTTTTATCGTCTGGCGGTGTTTGATGGGGTGCGAGACTATGATAGAGTTGATTATGGTGGGGTACAAGTTTGTGCGATCCTTCCATGTGCCAACTCTGACCACTCCTCTTGCGGTTTAAGGTCAGACGATGTCTCAGCCAAGCCTAATATGTTGCTTGGGTTTTACCAAACCGGTTTAGTTTTTCACTCAATTACAATCAGAGGGGATTTTTCAACCAACCACTCCTTTGTGGGACCAAACATTCTATTGACTGGTCAAGGAGAAAACTTTGGTTCCCTCTTGCCTACTGAAAGTTTCAAATTCTACGAAGCACATCCCTCAAGAAACGGTACACAAGTAAGAACATTGAAGACTTTGGAACCCATTTCTAATCTCGTGACCGCTAGTTTGTACGGAAGAATTTTCTCAAGGGATGGAGAAACGGATCAAACAATTCAGTCACGTGCATTCAGTAGTTTGATTTGTTTAACTTCATCACTAATTATTTGTTTTACGTCAGTTGTACTAGTTTGTAACTGATGGCTAAGTTGGTTTTTACCGCTATTCAATTTTGTTGTAAGTTTTGCAAATTTAATCTAATTTTGAAATAACCGAATTAATTGTTGGATACATACACATTTAATGAATTTATAGAGTTTTTTTAGACTAGACACTCTTTATGTGATTTGATTATTATGATTATGTGAGAGCAGAAACTATTATATCTTTAAATGTATGTATCTATGTAACTTTTTCTTAAACCACTACTTTTAGATAAAAAAAAATGTGTTGGAATATAAACACGTTGAATATGCAATATATAGCACATAGTAACTAAAACTTTGAATAAACAAACTATTTTTTACGCAAATTGTCTTGTTTGATTTATTTTAAAATCATAAGTTTACCTGTTATTATTGGTCTAATGGTTTATTAGTAGAGACAAAATTGAAGATACTTAACCTCCAAACCAACATACACGTATACAGTAGAGTCCCGCAAACTCGGCGTAATGTGGACTGGAAGGGTGCCGAGTTTGTGAAATGCCGTGTTATGGGGAACTAGGGTTTAAAAGAAGAACAATACAATTTTTAAGCTAAAATTAACTACCTCTTTTATGTATATTTACATTTCAAGTTAGTATTAAGTCATCAGTTGTAGTACAACAAATCATTTGTACGAGCTGAGAATGATATGACTTGAGCTGGCTTGAGTCCATGTTTAACTCGGACTCAAAAAATCACTAATTTTCTGAGCCAGGTGATGGCCGAGTTATCCAGACTGCCTGGTTATCGAGTGCCGAGTTTGCGGGACTCTACTGTAGTAAGTATTGAAAAAATGTGGAATTTTCCAATTAATAAAAACCTCCTACATAGTTTTAAAGATTTATAAATGTTTAGGTTAAGTTATTTAGATTGATTTTCCTTAAAAGAAATGTGTAGTGAAGTTATCAAAATCCTATATGCAGTAAGACCTCACTAACTCGACACCCGGTAACTCGACAGTCGTAGGTGGTGGCTACGAGATAAGTGGCACATTTATAACGCTCATCAAATTTCCCCAGTTCTATGAGTCAGTTTAGTCGAAAATGGTAAACTATGCTTACCTGCAAGATGTATTACAACTATTGTTGCTATCTGACAATTGTTTGCCTTTAAAGTAAAACTTAGTTTAAAAAACAACCTTAACCCTAACTTGGTCCCATACTTTTCTGGTGACTGAAGTGTTTGAAAACTTCCGTGCTGGTCATTCCACAAACATTCGCTGGACTTCACCTCACGTATCGACCCGTATCGCATGTTTGCTGCTGTTTCCCTGTCATTTTAGGCCGAACTGAAGCATGACTCACCTGAGAGGCGTTTTTGCAAAAATCGGTTTTGACTTGGAACCATGAGCGGCGCCGCTCATGCCGCTCGTATCGTACCCGGGGCCTTTTTGTTGTGTACAACTTTTCAAGTTTTAAATGTTGAATATTCTACATTCCTTCGATGATTGTTTAGTCAAAATGTAAAAATACTCATGTTATTAATAAATTTATGGGTAATAATTAGTCTGTTCTGTATTCATTTATTAAAACTAAAACCCATTAAAAACTTCAATCTTCTAGATAACTCGACAACCCCCAATCTCAACAATCTCTGGGTCCACAAATTGTTTAGTTGAGGTTTTACTGTACTGACTTAATCCTCCAGTGTCTTCAAAATCTATTTTAGAGGCTGGTCGAGGAATATATAAATGTACAGATAAAAAAATGATAGGCATTAACATTTTTGCAAATTTGGATTAATTTCGGGTTTTGAGGCTTACGTATTATCATTGTCTATATACACCTACAGTACCTGTAGGTATATATATAGTCAATGGTATTATCAAGAAAAAAATTATTAAATTTAAAAAAATATATATTACTGAAAATTTAAATTTAGAAGGGGGGCCAATAATGAATATGATATACATAATACTTTTTATTTACATAGCTATAAATAATATTCACAGCCAAAGTAGCATTTTAAATAAGTTATAGATTTTATAAAAAAATCTTAGCTGGCATAATATAAAACTGCATTTTAAATGGTAGGCTTGTCAAAATCAATATTTAAAAATACTCAAATTATACGTACAAGGCATAGTAGATTCACACTTCTTACATATGAAAAATTCTATATACAAAATACACACTGTCTTTTCACTAAATGCAAGATTAAGTCCTTAGACCCTTGTTTAAGAGTCAGGTCACGTTTCTCATAAGTCCGCAGATATAACTGTAGACGAAACTTGGTCCTGAGTGGAGGGGGAGATAATAGGCGTGGGAACCAGTGGTGGAGGGGAGGCCGGAACGTAATTGGTTGATTTCAAACTGGTGTGTGTAGTGGTGGGATACATCATTCTGTTCCACAGTTTCACCATGTGTTGGACTATACTGTTTACGAATCCTGAAACAAAAGTACAATTTTAAAATAAATTACTTACTCCAGCTACAGCAAACCTGCAGATTGAGCGGATTTCCATTTACTTAGTTAGATTTTCTCTTACATTGGATATTCTTATACTCTTAGATTTTCAGATTATTTTCCTATTACAATAACATTAGGGTTTAGTGAGTAGTTAGGTTTGCTGCTACGGGAAAGCAATGTGTATTTTTTTAGTGAATTGTAATACTGTAGCTTAGTATGAAATAAATCAACTTGCCAAATTTTATTAAAATATATCCATATAATCAAAGCATTTGATTGTGTTGACTTTGAAATTCTTATTAAAAAGTTAGAACTGTATGGGTTTAACGGATCTTCTCTAAATTTTCTTTCATCTTATTTAAAAAAACCGGAAACAACTAGTAAATTCTAATATAAAAAATCACAAGAAAGGGAAGTAACTTGGGGTGTTCCACAGGGATCAGTCCTTAGCCCACTTCTGTTTTTAATTTACATTAATGACCTTCCAATGGCAATAAATACTAAAACTATTCTGTACGCGGATGATACAACTTTTTTTCATGAAAACAATAACCAACTTGTACTTCAAAATTTAGTCCAAGTCACAAAATTAAACGCATCCAAATGGTTTCATGCCAATGGCTTTCTATTGAATGACTGTAAAACTCAAGAAATAAAATTTACTTTGAAACACGATTCTGCCTTTAATAATGAAAATAGTGCTGTCACTACAAAATTGTTGGGTCTTCATATTGATAACAAACTATCCTGGAATGAGCATATAAATTATTTGTCTACTAGACTATCTCGCGTAATTTTTTGTCTTGGTCGTCTCAAAGATGTAATTCCAAAGAACTATTTGAGATCGGCTTATTTTGCATATTTTCAGTCTGTAATGAGATATGGATTGATATTCTGGGGTGGGTGTGGAAGAATTAATGAAATTTTAATCCTACAGAAGGGGGCTATCAGAGCTATGAATGGATCAGAGCCAGATGAGCACTGCAAGCCTCTTTTTAAGGATTTTAAGATTAAAACTGTAATAAATTTGTTTATTTATGATCTTGCCCTTTATATCTTAAAAAAAACCCCATCACCTAAAATTCAATATTCATAATCACAATACCAGATTTTAAAATAGTGCCTTGTTAGAATCACATCGTAAGTAAGACTAAGCAAGACTAGCTTAGTAAGACTAGCAAGAGCCACATAGTGTTATCAACTAAAGTATATAACCTTTTAAAACACAATATTGATGCTTATCCGCAAGAAAAATTCAAGTCCTTGTTTTATAATTGGCTATTAGACAACCCTTCTTATAGCCTGGACGATTTGTTCAAATCTGGCCAAATAAATCTTTGATTGTATAACCCTGCTGCTAACCTGTTGCTTTATCAGGTCCTTATATTGTTGTTTGTTTAGTCATGTACATATTTTAGTTATTAAGCCCTATTGTTTTTTTCAAAATATTGGAAGTGTTTTTGATTTTGTTTTGTTTGACGACTGATGTATAATCATGATTTTGACTTTGTCGATGATCTAATGTATCCTTATGACAAATAAAGATTCTTGTTATTATTATTATGCAAGCAATATACAACAGCTTTTATCCCCTAAAAGAATAACATATGGGAATTTAAGTTTACAGTTAATTGGAATTTTCTACGTAACTTAAAAGCGCCGACCTATAATGACATTTAAATTTACCAAATTGCTATTCGAGGGTGAAAATGGAAAAACAAATTTTCACGCCATAAAACCCTGTTTTCATAGTCTGATCATGCTGGTTTGCGAACTGGTTCAAGTAAACATAGCTTTACACGTCTATACCAAAATTTTATCAAAATCGTTGGATGATTTTCATTCAATTGCATTCAGTTATATTCAATTTTCATTCATGCCAACATTCAAGTTATCATGCCAACGGACATATATATGTAAGCCTACAAATAAAGCCTACATATGAATGGGTGGTATTATTTGCCTCTGAGGACCTCAAAATGAAAAGGTGAAACAGCCCTGAGTCTATTTGCCTATCCAAAACAAATTTTCTACAACCCCAAACAAAGAAAGTTTCTGTTCAGGACCACTAATATTTTCTTTTGCCACAAGAAATAATCAAACAATCAAAATTAAGTACCGGTGTATTTATTTAAATACACCTAATAAAACAAACTAAACATAACTATTCTTGAAAACATTTAGTCCTAACTAACCTGTATGGTAATTTTTGTTTACTTGTCAAATCAAATGATGACTGGGCGGAAACTGGAGTTTTCCCAGCATTGTGACCTAATCCAATCAATTTCTTGTGGCCAAATACCCCATATTAAACAATAAAATAAAAAATCCTCAGACAAAAGAAAACTTTGCTTGTACACACGCTTGTTTTAGAGTATAGGATTGTTTAAACAGCTGACTTTTCAATAAATTGTACAAACATGTTATGAAAATTTGAAAGAGAAGAACTCGTTAGTATTGCAAGACAAGGGTGCATAAGTAGGCCTACATATCATATTATATTTACTTACCCCCCCCCCCCTCAGTCTTGCAAATATCGAACTAGACTATGAAATATCGGAAGATAATTTGATTACTTTAAACTGCATAGCTTTTTGAAAAGTATTGTTCACTACTTGTTACTGAAGTCCCACTTCGGCACTCGATAGTTATTTCTGCACTTAGCTTCGCCTTACTATCAAACTACCATCATGACCTGAAATTGGCCACTCATGGAACTAGAAGTGAAACTTAACTGACTCACCAGCCGTGATGAATATTCCTCCTACAGTAGCGCAGAGTCTTACGAGGAACTGGTCCAGAGGCTCCCTCTCCTCCGTGACTAGCACCTTGAGGGCGCTGGTGTCGTACTTGAAGAATATACCAGGAATACCATGGGACCCTGAGGAACAGTGATGTAGTTACAGTAACATAATATAGCCATGGCTTAAACATGACCTCTTGTGTAAACAACATCCTAATAGATCAAGAGGAGACAATTTGTATATACATTTCATTGAACACATTCGATACCATATTACCATACTGTGTGGCTACAGACCAATTTTATATGTTGATTATTTTTAAGTTAGTAGACGTTTGCTAAACCAACCCGTTTGACTTAACTTTGGTGTAACCTTATTGTTGAAAATGCCGAAGCCATTATTGCGAGTTGCAAAATTACAGCTAATTTAATAGAGTGTCAAAAGAGAAATCAATGGCTGGCAGGCCATTATTGTGCTTTCTCTTATTTTATTAGTGATATAAAATAATGGAAATAAAGATTAAATAAAAATAAAACCTCCAAATTCACTCCAAAAAAGCAGAATCAGCACTCCTGATGTCTAGCGATTGCTACTGACTCTGCTGAACGGGCTAATATAACTTAAAATAGTATTTTAAAAAATTAGACCCTGCTAATTTATTATTGTCCGATAAGTATTAATAAACGATGCCGAATTATTGAAAGTGCCGGACTGTCCGATGTCACGTAAGCGTGCTTTTACTGTATTTATTTTCTATAATTTTAAAACTTTCCTCCAAAAAATGAAAGATTGTTATTATTCAAAAAATATAATATATACCATATTTCAAAACCATCCTTAAACATAGTATGAAGTCGATTTTAATTATTTTCAAATAACCCTCTAAACAAACCTAAAGGCAACGAACCTTTGTGATGGTCTATTTGTCGCTCGTTGTCCTGCACTGAATACTGGTAAGTATAAGTTCTTGATAAGAATGTAGACACGTCTGTTGGAACGACCTCAATGAAATATTGATACAGTACCATGTCTGCAACAGAAAAATGTGATTTAAAACAATTGTCGCTCACACCACACCATACTTTGGCATCTTAATCGTCCTTATCGATATAATTCTCTATCAGTATTTTTTGTGTGTTAGTGTTGACATACTACTAATATTTAATATACAACAATGTAAAAGGTACACACAGAGCCGTTTTCCCAGAGATGCCAGAGGTTTTAGTTTTGTTTGGGGCGCAAAGAAGAGAAAACTTCCTTTGTGAGGAAGGGGAGGAGGTGGTGCGCAAAATTACCTCTTTGGCCCGAGCACATCACATGCAGACCTGGGTATAAAATAATATTACCTTTGTGAAACATGCTCGTAACTCTTAAGACTTATTATCCAAAGGTAAAATCACTATTTGAAATGAATCAACCAGTGCAGAACTACTCAAAATAAACTGCAACAATTTTATCACATTACCAACATTGTATTATTACCTCATCTATATCACATTAGACATATCTCACTTACTGTTTGTGGTAACCTTCTCGTAACCTTCCAACGGATGGATGATACCGGGGCTCGCATCACCAAAGGAGAACCGATGTATGCGGTGGGTAAAGTTGTAATCCATGTCTGACATGAACGCAGAGATGTGTATGTGGCCCTGTGGTAGTGACAGAGACTTTCCCGCCGTTATGTGGAAGTTTCCCGCCACTTTGTTGAGAACCAGGGTGCCGTAAATGCGGCAAGCATCTGGTGGCGTCACTGGATTGTATTTTCTGGAAATAATTAAACTGTGTATCATTCTGAAAGTGTTGTCATGTATTGTGAATAGAGTAAAATCTCTAAAGAAATGAAAGAGTGGGGAAGGTCGTTTTTGGATAAAAGAAGTTTTAGTTATTTTGGTTACAGAGTGTTTTGGTTGAGCTACAATTGTAAGGAATATTTTTTATATAAGAAGGTGAAGGTCATACTTAAATATTCATGGAAATTTATAGGCCTACTTGGACCCATGATACCTGATGATAGGTACTCCAACAAATAATATTATTATTCAAAATATTTAAAAAGAAATATGAAAATACTTAAACTCATGACACCTGATGATACTCTTCCTACAAATAATATTATTTAAAAAGTATTCTTTGATTAGTGGTGCAACAAACAAACCTGTGTTGGTTGAATTTCAAAATGATCATAAAATATGAAAACCCCCAAAAATCATTAATAAGATATATCTACAAACCAGCAATAACAATTCATCTATAGCACCAGTGATACAAAAATAGGGAATTTTAAAAGATTTTCAGGGGCCTTACTTAGATGGCAATTTATAAAAAAATATCAGTGTGTTAAGTATATCAGTTTATGAGACTGCGGCAAATATGGTAATGTTTATTTATGCACCAGTAAAGTAAACACAACACATCTGCCAGCTCTAGTCTAATGTAAATTGCTCAAACTTTCAGTGGAAAACTGTATTGCTGAACAACATGAAAATATACCTCATGGTTGGGTCAATTCATTACTTCCATGGTAAAAAAATAAAACATTTACATAGTTATATAAAGATGAGTGCACATAATTGAGATGACACTATAAAAATATGGGTTTTAAAAGACATCTGGGACTAAACTGAAATATTTTACCATATGACATAATATTTTATCAATGTACTAGCTGTAACCCGCGGGCTTTGCCCCGTTTAACTTCTTAATTTTCAAGATTATCTCGTTCGCATGGCTCAATCACGTCCTGGTTGAAGTTTGTTCGCTACGCTCACTCACCTTTAGGTTGGAGCTCGTTCGCTACGCTCACTCACCTTTAGGTTGGAGCTCGTTCGCTGCGCTCACTTGCCTTCAGGTTAGCTCGTTCGCTACGCTAACTCGCCTCCAGGTTGAAGTTCGTTCGCTACGCTCACTCACCTTTTGGTTGCAAATTAGCTGTTGTCATAAATGTAAAAGAAATAATAGTGCTGCACCCTGTTGGTAATCCTTGTAACTTTAATGCTATTGAACATCATAGAACAGAACCAACTTGTTTAATTGAAACAGCTGTTAAGATTCAATAATTCCATTTCTCATAAGGTCAACATGGGAAACTCCAGAGCCACTGGGGCGGAGCCCGAAAGGATTTTTGAAATAAGAATATGCCTATATGTTAATCGGGAATGTGAGCTATCATCATGCCAAATTTCAGCCCAATCCGACCAGTATTTTTCGAGTTTACTTTTCCCATACACACATACAGCAACCACCTCTTTTTTATAATAGTATAGATAGATAGATAGATAGATAGATAGATTATATTGATATTGGGGTTAAAATATGGCTTAGTTGTATCTCCATAGGTTGTATTATCTACTGAAATAGGAATTCTATCTAGCCTACATGGAATAACTGTAGCTTATTAGCTTATATCTAAAAGAGCTCTTCATTGGTTTTCTTCCTATTTGACAAGTAGATCTCAATTCGTAGAAATTACCCATTTAAAAAATTATTTTATAATTATCGAATCATCATCAACTTATCAACCAATTAAATTTGGGGTGCCACAAGATTCAATTTTGGGGCATTTGCTTTTTTCTTGTTCGTTAAGGGCATAAAATATACATTAACCTACAAGCCAAATTCTTATTTATGTTATCAATCATTTTAGCCTCTGGATTGCTTATATATTAATTGATATTACAGTATAAGGCCTTACCTTAGCAATCCTGTTTGTAACAGTTGCAGGTAAGGTTTTATAATATCAATTAACTTAATTATGTCTTTATGCTTATGATTCTAAATTGATTGTGTTGTCTAGCTCTCCAAAAGAAACTGACATTTTTACATATGTAGAATTAGAGAACATTGGAAACTATTTCTACGATCATAGCTCATCTCACACCATTCTACACTCATATTTGGGTTCACCTAGGTGGCGTCCCCATCTCAATGATTGATAATTGACAATATAGTTAAAAAGTAAATTTGCCAGAAATCAGTGACTTTCATCAACACACTGTGTCCATTTCTCAATTCAACTACTGTACGTTCATATTTACTATAAAAAAGATTAAATGTCTAGTTATCAATAGTCAAAGCTCCATTGCACGATGATATTGATATTGAGTCCTATATTGAACCCACAAATATGAAGTAAAATCAGCCATATTTCCAACCAAAAATTTGTTTTTTTCATACATTTATCGGAACCTAATAACCTACCTCTTGGGTAGTCTGCCATACAAGTTGGTCTCGCCAGATTTCCACAGAAGGTCTTGTATGGCGTGATACTCATCCCTCAGATACTGATTGATGTACCTCATGTTGTCAAAGTACATCCTCTGTTCTTGCGACAGCTCGAACCAGGTGTCCTCCTCCTCTAGGGTGCCGAACATGAACACATTCTGGTTTGTGGAATCCAGAATGTCTGCTCCCACACCTTAAAAAACAAAATTTTTCAAAAAACTAAAACCTCATTTTCGTTTACGTGTAATTAAATATATGGTAAAAAGTAAACACCCGTTGGAGTACATCTAGTGTTTCAAGTTGTCAGTAAATGTATGGATTAGTTTTGAACCGTCACCAATCTTTGAAATCAAGCAACTTTAAGAAACTTGTTTGAATTTTCAAATTCTATATTTTTGAAAAGAAGAACACAAAAAAATCTGTTGGAAACTTATTTTCTTGACAATAAATTTTAATAATAATTTTATGCTACAATACGCCTATTCATTGCTAGTAAAATGAAATAGTATTAGGAGAAAAGGTGCTGTTCTGAGAACTCTAAATATAGTTTATATCTTATTTTGTTACTTCCTAAGGAGGAAAATCAGGGTTTATGAAAAGTTTCAAATTCACAGTCAAAATTTTAGGAAAAGTTCAATCCTTATTATCTATGTTTGCCTTTATCAATCTAATTGATCAGACAAGAAACTGTTGCTTCAGCAAAAGTTCTAAAGCGAACATCAAAACTTTATTCAGTACTTACTGTGACAAGGCATTGCAACAGTGAGGTCTATGTTTATCTTCAGTTTGGCTTCATAGTCGGTGTCAGGGACAAACTTGAACATAAACCTGCTCTGTAGGTAGTACGATATCTCCGAGTATATCAGCCATGATATGATGCCCGCAGTTATAATTGAAACTGGAATAAATAAATTATTGTTAACAAAAATGTGCAAAACTTACATTTTTATAAGAACCTACAGTTTAACTTGACCAAGCTGTGTGTAATCGGCCTATCTGATTCTATTGCTTACAATAAATAAAGCATCCAATTTTTTTACTAAATCTAAACTTGTTTAGGCTATTCAGTTTTATAGATAGTCCTACAGTAAAACACTGTTTAACTAACTAAACCGTAGGAAACTAAAAGCCGCTTCATTAGGCCTATCTTTCTATGAATTATAGAAACACATTTAACATAGCCTATTGTTAAGGTACCGTACTCATTTTTGTCAGAAAACAGGAAGGGCCTCCATGGATTGTTTATTTGTTTTATTTCATTTTATTTATTTCTACGGCAAGCAGCCATTTTACAATTTGTACAACAAATCAAGATGGTTTACACAAGTATGAATAACAAGGATTGTAATAGGCTACATTTGTCTCTGCTTATCAAGAAATGAAGTAGATTTAATGTCTTGCACACTTTGTGTTCCCCATAGATTTTCCCGCAGATTTCTGAAGTTGTGTCATCCTCGGAATGACACATCATACTGCGACACCATCTTGGTTGAAGTTTTCCTAGAACAAGAATTTTTTGGAGGGGCAATAAGAAAAGATAGGCAGTAGGCCTAGTTATTGCTGATCCCTCGCCAGTTTCACGTAATTTATTTGGTGAAGTAAAATTAAACTTTCAATTTAATTTCAAGGCCTATCAGCCTAATCAGTCGCCTATCAATTAATAGTTAAGCAGATCAAAACATTTCCGTTAACAGAAACTTACTTTTAAAATATTAAGAAGATACCTATATTCGACTATTTATTATTAAGACTCACATGTTCCTCCGACCCTGGATGTTTCTACAAATGTCTCAGGTAATTTTGGAAATGAATCCAACTCCCTTACAGTATCCAAAGATATTTTCTTCCTCTGCCGAAGCATTACATCTGGTGTATAAAAACCTTAAACAGAAAGTTAAGCTAATACCGATTCAAACCACATTTGTGCATAGATGTAGCCTATTGAATACAATTATTCAAGTAACTTTGTTTGGATTGGGATGAAACTGTCAAAGGTTTCCACTCCCTAACATTTAACAAAAACTGATGGAGCTAAAGTCGATTCCTTTAAATGAAGTGTTGACTTAATTTTAAGGAACATTGAAGGAGTAACCACCATCAAATTCTGCTATTAAATGTTGCTAGCTTATTTATTACCAATAACAACTCTGGGAAATTACGACTAAGTTAAATTTATTTTAACATCCTTAAAAACTAAACACAATGGCTACAAAGGGTGAAAATGAAACACACACAAGATAGAAATAGAATATAGTAAACTGTAGTTAATACTGATTAGGCCCAGGCTAATCATGCTTAAAGGTAAGTCAGCTAAGGGCAAATCCAAGGGGAGGGGGCTGTGAAGACTGCAGCCCCTCTTTAGGCCCAGCGCACACGGTGTGACTGTTTTACAACTACAGTTGCGTCTATCGTGTAATCAGTGGAGTATTAATTTAGTGCAGTTTACATTGTTTTAAGGCCTTAAATGCACTTACTACGTCAGACTTAGACTTAGAAGACGTTATTAGCTATAATCAATACCGAAGACAGCGAAGGGTACTGAGAGAGCATTGGGTTTACCCTTATTTGAGCAAGAATGTTAGTACTAGGCTGTGTGTAGCAGCTACAGCTAGTCGGATAGGAAATTATAAACACTAAAAACACAATACCTCCATTAAAATACCACCAAATACCACAAAACACCCCGTGGTCTCGTGCAACTGAAATCTGCAACGTCGGGCCCACGGTTGCATGTGACTGGTTTCAAACTTTTTTTAAATCGCATACAACCAGTTGCGCCGTGTGCTCCTCCCCACTGCAATACATTGCCGAGGTCACAAAACAGTTGCACGTGCAACTGGTTTGCAACGACAGTTGCAAAACAGTCATACCGTGTGCGCTGGGCCTTAGAGCAATACTTAGGCCCTATAGGCCTACATAATGTTAATAAAATAATAGGCACACTAAGAAGTAGGCATGGTTTGAGTATCATTGAATTCAACACGATGATTCGAGTTTAACACACAATGCATGTTTCCAGTTAGGTATGTTTAAAAATGTCCAAAGAGGTTCTATAACCTACCTACAGCCCAGGTGGTTTACTTAGTTAGCACTCAATGAAATTATTTTAAAGCAGCACCCTCCCCCTTTCAACTGGCTGGATCCATTCATGCAAACAGATTTACCCAGATGAAAAGATAGAACTTTTGCCTTGGCCATTTTTAGTAAGTTAAGGTTAAGTTTACTAAAATTAAACTTAATGTGTAACCAGAGTTTTACAAGAGATTTCTCTTAATAATGGTAGTCACATCAATAATCAGCTCTACTCTAAATAAGACCTGGAAAATAAACATTAATAATTGATATTGAGTACCGCTCTTAAAAAAAAGATACAGCCTAATTTGAATCCCTAAAATTATCTATATTATGTTTAAAGGTTATGTTAGATTGCAGTAAAGAAAAAAGGATCCCGTTATCATTAGTAATTTGATAATATTATTTAACTTATATAAAAGATTTGATACAGCCTATATAATGACACGATCAAAACACTTACACTTAACGTTGACACTCCAGCCTGAGCCTTGACTTGACAGTTGGAGTTGACAGTTAGCGTAGCAGTGCAGTGCAGACTGCAAAGATCAGTTTAGTACTTTATTTGACACGACACCGACACCCGCCGACACCGGACACCGGCCGGTGGGACACACGGGAGGGACGATGGCTAACTTAGTGTTAGCGTTTACCGCCAGAACCGCTAAGTTGAAAAATTTAAATTAAGTTAATTTTATAATTTTTAGTTATAAAATTAACATTTTAATTAAAAAATTAAACTGTCATAACCTAACCTAACCAAACAAACTTGTGGATAATATAAAAAATATATAAGATAAAAATTAAATGAATGTTTAGTTATAATTTTGAATTATAAAATCAATTTTAAAATTTTGTACAGTATTTTAAAATTTAACTACCATAACCTAACCTAACCAACCAAACTTGCTGATAATAAAAAAATAAGATAAAAATCAAATAAAGACAAAAAGTTAATGACCTCGACGGGTTTCAAACTCGAGACCTCCTAAACACTAGTCCGATGCGCTACCAACTATGCCACTAACGCCGCTGGAATCACCGTTTCGTTACGGTAATCGTGTTGCGTGTTGCCATAGATAAAACATACTCCTGTTTTATCTATGGTGTTGCCTCAAGAGAAGACATTAGCCATCCGATACAAACTCTGGCGGGACGTTATGTCATGAAAGCTGGCTGACTGACAGTCGACAGACCGGTTCAATTGAACGGGTTTTTTGAACGAGTCGCGGCAGTGAACGAGACCAGTTGACCCGGATCAGTAAAGTGATCCGAACGTCCCATCTCTAATTAGCCACTATATATATGACGTCACCACACCTTTAGCCATCTTCCCTCCCGTATGCCGATTCCGGACACCGGCGGCGACGCCACACTAAAAAGAAAATGTAAGAAACAGTACACGGCGACAACCTTTGTTTAAAATTAATTTAGCATTGGTTATATAAACATAAAGTCAAAGGGTCGTATAAATATAGAAGAATGTATTTTATATATTTAAATTTCCCTTAACACATATTTTGAAACTGTTAAAATACACTTTTAAATAGCTTAACTTGTTTCTTTTTATATATTCTGTCGAAACCTCATTTAGCAATAGATTCATGATGTTCCTTCATTTCAAATCACGAGACTCAAGTTGGTGAATAGGGAGGACGAGGAATACCGCCCCCTGTAAAGTAGAACTAATAATGAATTCAGTTTTACATTATAAGTACAGAAACGTGTGATGTAAGGTGCAGGAGTTGATGGATGATAATTTGATTAAAATCCAACTAGATTTATACATCACCGACAACCAGAGTGTGAGTATTGCAAGGCAAAGTTGACTGAAAGATTGTGTTCAATGAACGAAATGTTAGCTTTGTTACAGATCAAGGTTATAGCGGTTTCATTTGCCAAAACCACTGAGCTTGAAATGTAACCAAATTTAGCAATGAATAGTTTATTGTAGACACTGAGCAGTGATTGTAGACAATTGTACTTATAGTGGGTACATTGTATCTTGGGGGGGGGGGGGGCTGAATAGGATTTAGGGATTGTAAAGATCCATTAGCCAATGCGCTGGTTTTGATTCTTCTTGTTGGTACAAACATATCTAAAGTTTTACAGTGTCAATTTTCTTTTCTGCTGGTTATCTCAGTGTTCAGGGAATGGGCACACGGAAGGGACTAAGGCCAAAGGTGTAGTGACGTCATATCTCTAGTGGCTAATGTCTTCTCTTGAGGCTACACGATTACCGTAACGAAACAATGTGATTTCAGCGGCGTTCGTGGCAGAGTTGGTAGTGTTTCGGATTGATGATCAGGAGGTCCCGGGTTCGAATCCCGCTGGCAGCACTAACTTTTTGTCAACAAATTTTTCATATCAGCAAGTTTGGTTGGTTAGGTTAGGTTATGATAGTTTAATTTTATAATGCTAAATTTTAAAATTAATTTTATAATTAATTAAAAATTAATTATTAATTAGATTTTTGTCTTATATAGTTTTTATATTATCAGCAAGTCTGGTTGGTTAGGTTATGTTATGACAATTTAATTTTAAAAATTAAAAATTTATTTTATAATTTTAAAACAATATTTTATCATTAAAAAGTTAATTTTATAACTAAAAATTAAAAAAACTAATAATTTAAAATTTTTCAACTTAGCAGTTCTAGCGGCGAACGCTGACACTACAAGATATGTTAGCCTTAGTCCCTTCCGTGTGCCCCACCGCAGTATTCAGTGTATACTCCACTCCAGTATAGTACTCCACTGCCACTCCTCAGTCCTCACTCTACACACTGACACTCTAATGGTATTTACTCAAGGGAGGTACAGAAGAGGCTTCGATGACGTCAGCTGTCAGATCTCCTCTTGAGGGAAGAACATTACCGCAACGATACGGAATTTAGTCATCTGCCTCGGTGGTGAAGTGGGTAGCGAGTCGGGCTAGTAATTCGAAGGTGCCGGGTTCGAATCCCGCTGGCAGCACTGACTGTTTGTCAAAAATTTTTTTCATATCAGCAAGTTTGGTTGGTTTGGTTACGTTATGACATTTTAATTTTATAATTAAAAGATTATAAAATTGAATTTTAGGCATTTATAATTTTATTTTATGAAACAAATTATTTTTTAGATTAGTAAACCTTTCATTTGATTTTTCATTAACAGCACGTTTGGTTAGTTTGGTTAGGTTATGACAGTTTAATTTAATAATTGAAAATTTTTAAGAATAATTTTATAATTTGTCTTAATTTTTTAATTAACTAGGCCTAATAGTGAAGTAAAAATTACGCGCTGTGTTCTCTTCTACAACGCTATTAACGGAGGAATTTTGAACTAAACTATGATGTCATCGTTGCCTCATTTGTACCTCCCTTAAGTCAGACCCCACTCTAATCTAATCAAATAGATCTGGATGGTGGGACATAACCCGAACCCGACATACATAACCTCACAAACAAATTGAAATTGAATCATCCATCAATTTAATTCATCATAGATGCGGCATTAATTTTGTGTACTGTGTAGGCATATATTGATAATATTTTAATATTCTTAAATTTGGTATCGCAGTTCTGAAAAATTTCTAGCACTTATCCAAATAGGCTATCATACAAAAACGTAACTTTTCTGGTCCAATTAAATACTCGGCAACTCACCGTATTTTATGTTAACTGGCAAAATGATTGTGCTTCAATTATTTTAAGGTAAGTTCTTACAATATTTTGTCCTAATTCGTTATGCATATGGACTGGTCGTGTCTGTGCTTTGGAAGTAGACCTAGTTTTAGGACTTTTAAGTAAGGTTAAAGGCTAGAATTGAAGTCAGCCTTTGAAAAGAAAACTAGGTCCAACATGTACAGAGAAAACTCTGTTCCTGCTTTCTATAACTTGTAGAAATTCACTTGTTTGTAAGCATATTTTACTGAGATTAGACCGTGGATCATCTGCAAGATCACATAAAAGTAATATAGGCTACTTAAGGTAATTTAAATGTAGGTGACATTGGGTGTTGTGTTACATAAGATTAGATTGCTTATATACCCACCTCTACTCTTTCCCCCCTCATACATCTCAGTTCTACACACTTTCCTTGCAGGTGCTCCAGAGTTTCTGTTCTGTGTTGGTTTTATGGGGTACACTTCCATATCTGTTGGCGCAAACAACCGAATGAAAATAATAACGATCGATATATCGTTTGGTTAGTTAGGTAAGGTTAACCTGACCTAACTAACCAAACGATATATCGAATTAAACAATCAAATAGGCTAATCTATATTACTGATTTGGTTGTGTGTGCCAACAGATATGGAAGTGTACCCGTTTTATGTTTTGTTTTAGACTGTTTCCGGATTTTGCTCTCAGTAGTGTGGCAGGAACTGTTTTAGGTCTGACAAAAGCCGCTGCTACCTGTGTAGGGCCCCTACTTTTGATAATTAAATCATTCAAGTTAAGTTTAAGTCTGTACACCAAAGATGTCCTAGTGCATTTGTTTAACGGCTTCACGAACAGGTGACGGATATATCCGCCTAAGTCTTTGGCGATAAAGGATGGGTGGCGGATATATCCGCTCTCTGCCATGGCTGCGCTCTCTCCCGCGCACACCCCCCACCTCTCCTACGCTCCCCCCTCGACGTTTTGCGCTCAACACTACGTTGTCTTTATTTATATTGTTTACATACCTATTTTTCTTTATTTATTGCCTAACGTTGTCATGGTCATATCTTCAAAGACGGGTGGCGGATTTATCCGGTGCTTTTCTACTCATGCGCAGACAGGTACCGTAGTGGATATATCCGCATAGTTAAAAACAAGTAAAAAATTATTTTGACAGTATGAAGTGTTCCATTGTGTTTATTTTATTTATACTTGTATAAGATAACACAAATAAGGAAAATTAATTTGTATTTTTTCCTGTTCTATGTCGCGATTTCGCCCATCCGAGAAGGGTTAAGATAGGCCTAACTTAAGTCAATTTTCTTGGCACCCTATTTCAGATTATGCAGCATTCATCCAAATTGATATTTAACTCAATATTTAGCCTACTTATGTTTTAACACGGGTGTAGGCTACTTTACTTTTGTGTTAACTCATGACCAATTAAACATTCGCACAAGGATTGATTCTAGATTAGTCTAATCCTGATAACTTAACTTAGGCAATTAAAACGTGACTTTTATTTTTCAGATACTGATTAAATTTGTATGACATAGGCTTCTCCAAAAATCTAACTCAGATGGGTTCACGTGGAAGATTTGGCCCGTTAGTAGGGGCAATAGACGAAGGAACAAGCAGTGCACGCTTCCTCGTGTTTGCTGCCAACACAGCCGAAGTCCTCACATACCACCAGGAGGAGATTAAACAAATCTGTCCGCAAGAAGGATGGGTTGAGCAAGACCCGTTTGAAATATTACATCTAGTTGAAAAATGTCTTTCAGTATCAGTAAATAATTTAAAAGAACTTGATATCGACCCTGGAGACATAGTTTCTATTGGAATGACCAACCAGAGAGAAACTACGATAGTGTGGGATCCGTTTACTGGAGAACCACTTTATAATGCTATAGGTACTTACGAACTTTGTTGTGCATAAAGATCCACAATATTTCAAAGTAAATGGCTTTAATCTTTTGTGAGGGTTGTGGATTTTTGAAATGTATTTCCCATCACAACTGACTATAGGCTGACTTGATTTTCATAAACTTAGTTGAAAACTAAGAAGAATTTAGCAGACTTTCTCCCTCACTGGGGGAAGGTTAGTTAAGTTAATGATAATGTAAAAAAAATAAAGCCAAATGTGAGTTTTTTATATTCCCTATTTTTTACGTCTTTGGAATTTAAAAATATTTTGTCATTAATTAGGCCTATAACAGTTTACTTGGATTAAATTACGTTTCTTTTGTAGTTTGGTTAGACGTAAGAACAGCGGACACAGTGGAACGTATGAAAGCCAAAGTGAAAGGGAAAACTGCAGAAACGCTCAAGGCTCTCAGTGGACTACCAATAAGCACTTATTTCAGTGCTCTCAAGCTAAGATGGCTAATGGATAACGTTCCGGAGGTAAAAGCTGCTGTGGATGAAAAACGATGCTATTTTGGTACTGTTGATACTTGGCTTATATGGGTGAGTAACATTTTACCATTTTCCACGATAGAGAAATTTAGACTGTCTTTATAGACTTTTAGTGAGAATTAAGGTATTTCTAAATTAGTAGGCCTATTCATTAGGCCTAAAAGTTATCTCTATGAATTCTAAAAATATCAGGTTGGCCTACCTAACATTATTAAATATTTGAAAGGTAAAGTTTTGCATACAGGTTAAACAAGACAATTTAAAAATGCAAGCATTTTAGAAATTGTCTCGTCGTTTAATCAACTATTCCAAAAATTAAAAAAAACAATATGGGTGTAACATCAATAAACAACCTGATTACTTATAACCTACACTTTACCAATGTAAACCACCTTCAAAACACTTAATGTAGCCACGAATCTGCATAAACCCTGACCTGCCTTCTCCACATGCCTAAATAAGATCATTGTTTCAACTAAAGTAGATCTGAATCACTCCTTGGTGTGCGATGTGCTCCGCGCTATGAGAAAGTAGTTAGGCCTATGTATATTTCCGCAATTTGCGGTGGTTTCCACGTTTTAAAAACATTTTTTTTAAAATCAGTTTATTGTTTATTAGGATCATAGGAATGGTTTAAGAAAAGTCTTGAAAGTTCAGAAATACCAAACAATGTAGGCTAGGCCTGGCAGGCAAAAGCCCTGCGCTAGATAATGTAAATGAACTTTTACTTACTTACTTACTTACTTCTTACTTCTGAAGTCTTCTCCGCAATCGGGTGATTGGGGAATCGTCAAGATTCATCTGTTTGGTTCTCGAAGTGAGTCCCGTTATCTAAGGTGTTGAAAAGTGTGTTACTCGATATACTCTGCTGTGGTGTAGTAGGGCCTATTGATTAAATATTGTTTAAGCTTGTAAATAAATGTGTTGTGTTTGTCAATGGCTTTTATAGAGTCCGGCAGTAAATTATAGAAATATGAACCAGTGTACAGTGGGGAGTTGCTGAATTTTGTGAGTGTGTGTTGTGGAAGATCAATGTTTGCCCTATTTCGTGTGTTGTAGTTGTGTTTATCTTTTCTGAGACTGGGCGAGGAATTTATGGCCAGGATGATGGTTTCCAGAATATGAAGTGAAATAACGGTGAGGATTTTATTTTGAACAAAGAAGGGTTTGCAGTGTTCCTGATAATCCAGCCGCAGTATAGTTCTGATGGTTTCCTTTTGAAGGATAAGGACTTGTTAATAGCTGCTGATCCCCACGCCGCTATTCCATATCTCAGGTGTGATGAGAACAGGGAGTGATAGGCCACCCACGCCGTTTCTTCATTTGTAATATTTCTGATTCGCCTAATTACGAACTGCGCAGACGTCAGTTTTTTACAGGGATAATCAATGTGGTCACTCCAGTTTAGGTTTTTATCAATGAATACACCGAGGAATTTTGTCGAGTTCGAGTTTGTTATGGTCGAGACTGGATCTGTATCAATTCCTGTGCCATGTCTATTGCTGGTCATGAAGGTTATATGTACTGTCTTTGTTTTGTTGATGGTTAGGCTCAATGTGTCACAGATTTCGGTGGCTTTGTCCAAGGTTGAATTTATTGTGTTACTATTGTCAGTTTTGGGTTAGATGGGGGTGAGTATGGTAGTGTCATCGGCGAATAGAATACATTTCTGTTCAGGGTTTAAGGAGTCTGGAAAACTATTGATATATATTATGAAGAATAGTGGACCGAGTATCGAGCCCTGTGGGATGCCTATTGTACTTCTTCTGAGGGAGGATTGTACACAAACTATCGAACTGAAGCGTTGGTGATCTATTTCAACATATTGGTATCTGTCTGTAAAGTAGCTGTGTATCCATTCTAGAACTTTGTCTTTAATTCCAATGGTTTTTAATTTGTTGAAGAGGATTTCCCAATTTAGATTATCGAAAGCTTTCTGTAAGTCCAAAAACACTCCTGAAACATGGTTTTTACTTTCCCAGAGTGTTGTTATGTGTTCACATAGTTTAGCTATGGCCGTATTTGTACTGAGCCCCTTTCTGAAGCCATGTTGACTAGTAGAAAGAAGTTTATTTGTTTCTAGGTGGTTTATTAACTGGTTGTAGACAGTTCGTTCCAGGAGTTTTGATATTGTTGGTAGGTTGGAGATTGGTCTATAGTTACTTGGATCTTGTTTGCTTCCTTTCTTATGTACTGGGTGGATTTTTGAAATTTTTAGGTTTTTGGGAATTTTGGACTGCTCTAAAAAAGCCTTAAGGGAAAGGAAACTTTAAGCCTTAAGGAAAAGAGCTCTCTTTAAAGAATGTTTTTTTTTTTTTTTTTTTAGAATTTAACGGGTGGTATTCACGGAGGATTACACATCACCGATGTTACGAATGCTTCAAGGACCATGCTCATGAATCTACAAACTTTACAGTGGGATCCAACACTTTGTAGGTTTGTTGAAAACTATCACAACTCTTACTGATGATAAGTAGTCTGAAACCTGGGTTAGCCTAGTGGTTATGGTGGTCACCTATTTTGAAGAAGGTGAATCCTGACCAAAATATGTAGCCAGTGGCGGCTGTCCATAAGGACTTTAGGAAGGAGTCCTCCTACTTTCAAGACAAAAGTAAAAATTATAATAATTGACATAAATATGATTTACATTCTTGCATTTGAATGTACATAAACGATAGCAGGGTCAATACTTTTAGGATGGGTAATAGAGGATGTAACCACGTTTTGCAGAACGTAGTCTGCAGGGTTTCTGTGGATATGAGTCCAAACTCCCATATAAATCGTATGGAAAAATATACCAATCACAGAGCTCCATCAGGCACTAATGTAACAGTAATAGGGCGTTTGGGACTCCGTCCGAACAGTAGTTCTAACCATACCACAATGAGGGCTGATCACAGCGATCTGTTGACTGCCAACGTCAACACAATAGAATGATCAGTCAAAGTCAATAAGTGAATGTAGTATTTAGTGATTCACGGTTATGTTCATCGTGCCAGTATTCGAGGTGTTAATAAATATACTAGCCCATTGTTTCTCTAGAAGTGTTTTTCAGTGATGCTAATGAATTATGGATTCTATTAAAAATATTTCTGCAAAGTAGGGTATGCGAATGATGAGGACAATTAATTATGAATAAAGAGACAACAAAGACAATTATGAATCAAACAGTGTATTATATGGTACAAAAAGTGGCGTAAACCATGGTTTAAATAACTAAAATTTTTAACTTTTAACCAAGACCCTCACCCGGGATCACTAACCTCCCCAAAAAATTGTATATGCATCCTCCCACTACTTTAACCTACCAACCACCACTGTCTGTAGCTTTTTGATGGTTCAAAATTTTACCCAGCTGTCCTCGTTTATTGGGGTTTTAATAAATTAATTCTGGCAATAACCAGTGGTTCTTAGTAACAGGGTTTAAATTAAAAATCATTCAATTCAACTCTTATCTTGGCTGTAAAAATGCACTCTGAGCATTAGTATAAAATAGTATCAATCCAATCACATAGAACGTACTTCACATAGAAAGTCAATTAATTAACAGTTGATAACTTTAATATAGCCCAATATTATTCATTGATAGGGGTCTTCTGAAACAACTTACACTCCCCCTATCGGGTTGGCTTTTATCCATGATGTTAGAAAATCTGGAAAAATGTATAGAGTAATATTTTCCAAACTCAAAATCATGTGTATTTGTAGGCCTAATCATTAAAATTTAGAAATGTTGACGATGTAGTTATAAAAACAAATTAGGTTTTGGTAGTAGATAGTGTAGTCCGTAATTGCAGCTAAATTATATTCACCCATGATTTGATATGCTACAACATGGTTACGGTAGTAGATGATTGATTATAGTAGTTTTGGAAGTAAAAAAAAAGAACCAACAAAATTAAAATGTTCATGAACAACTGAAATCAACACATCCTGTAAATTGTTAGAAGTTGTAAGTGGCTTATTCATTTTTACGGCCTTATTAAATTGTACAGCAACTGTTTTTAAAGTTCAAAATCACCACAGTGTCTTTTGGTTTATTTTTCACATTTTTGATACAGTTTTAGGAAGTTTTTTACTGCTGTATTTTCACAGTTAGTTATCTGTTACAGTGTTGTAGTGTTACATAAAAATGACTTGGCTGATTGCTAGACTTACGACTGTACTAATCCCTACTTGGTGTCTAGCTGTAAAGTGTCAATTATAATGTTTCATCAAAGCTCTCATTCAGTGATAAAGTTAATCAACATTCCCTATTCAAGGTCGACGTTTATTTTGGAAATCTCTGGATTTATGACAAAATTGTCCATGCCTCTGTTAATGTTTAATAATTTTCTTTAAAATTTACATTGAAGATACACTAAATTAAGGTCTTTTTTTTAAGACATTAGGTAAAATCTGTAGATGGCATATGTATCGCAAGTTGGAAAGTGGATAAACATATAATGCCTTTCAATGTAATGTAATAACATTTATTTAGTATAAATACAATTTAATTAACATACCATAAGTTACCATTCTCGGTTCTCCTAAGAAAAAATATGTTTTAAATTTCTTTGCAATGTTTAACAAAAAATCAATCTGGCCTATTTTCTTTATGTTTAGGTTTTTTGGGATCCCCATGAGTATTCTTCCGAAAGTTAGAAGTTCATCGGAAATCTACGGCTACTTGGCCGAGGGTTTATTAAGAGGAGTCCCTATCTCTGGTGTAAGTAGTCGGTTTTATCACTATCTTTTAATTAAATATTTAATTCCAGTTCAAGAGGCAAGGATTAGTATTCATTAGTGCCTATACTACTTTGATGGGCTAAGATAAAGTTGTTATTTAATAAAATATTGTATATTGAGTAATTTTTTCTTATAAACATTGCTATCCTTGCTATTATATTGAGCATGGCTGAATATTTGATTCTGTTTCAAGCAACATACATTCTTGGCTTACCAAGTGTAAGCCTAACAAGATCAACAACCAAACACATATTTCCGATATTCCCTTCATTTGAAACAGTACCGTTCAAAAATAAATGTTAATTAACGTAACTAGGGTCAAACAGCTGTTTGTATGCATATTAGGACATCAGTTGACGTTTCTTTTTGGTAGAGGTTTTTATTAAAGAGGTTCGCAGCTTCTTTCAACCTTGCATTTGTCTATACATACAAGGCTCTGGCTCGGGTGAAAAGTTTCAATCAAGGCAAGAGGAGAGCTGATACAGTATAAGAATGAACTGTACTGATACCTAGTGGGAGCAGGATGCAAACGATTTACCTTAATCTGAGATATAAGTTTCTGAGAAATTACATTTTGAGTAGGCATAGCACCGTTAGGTAATCTTAATCACTAACTTTAACTTTTCTAATGGGTTAACTTGATAAACGTTCATTTTAGTTTAAACCCTACACTTAGTTCACCGCATCAATATGTTTACAGTGTCTAGGAGACCAGCAGGCAGCTTTGGTTGGACAGATGTGTTTGAAGCAAGGACAGGCCAAGAACACCTACGGAACTGGATGTTTCCTTCTTTATAACACAGGAACTGCAGTGAGTTCAGTATATCGTTTGAAGATTATTTGAACCAATATCTAATCTAACCAATTAACACGTGCATTGTTATATATGTTTATGTTTAAACTCGTTATAAGGGCGAGGACATAGAAGATTGTGGTTCTTTAAATCTACTACAGAAGACATTTAAACACCTACTATTGATCATGAAAGCAAAACTAGACTGTAACTTACCGATTTAAATTAAAGTGGTAAATAATGTAAATATGGTGCTAATAAGGTTTTTTTTTAGGTTAAGCTATCAATGTTTACAAAAAATAACAAATAACAATTTCAGTTTTAATCTGATTATATCATAAAAAGTGTCAATATATTTGATACTCCTGTACATTCCATACTTCTGCCTGCCTCATTGGCTCCTCCTGTAACCTAGGTAGGACTAACTGCTTCACACTTTGGTAGAGTCCCACACTTTCCATAGTAAGCCTTGAGACCTTTCACCTCACTCTCCCATAATTTGATAAATGTTCTTTAGTGTAAAAGAAAAAAAGTTGCTCTAATTCTGAATTTCTACTAATCATATTTCACTCTTTTTCCTTTACCTTAATTTGTTATTCGTGTGCTACCTATTCCACATTAGGTTTCTTCAAACCCAATTTATCAACAAACATGAATATGTTCTAATCACAACTCTTCTCGTCAGATAGTGTTATCTTCACACGGGCTGCTGACAACAGTAGCCTACAAGCTTGGTCGTAACGCGCCGGCTATCTACGCTCTGGAAGGTTCCGTAGCCGTGGCCGGCGCAGCTCTCACCTGGCTACGGGACAATCTTCACCTGTTGTCTGATGTGAAGGAAACAGCCACTGTGGCGCAGGCTGCCGGTGCTACAGGCCATATTGTGTTTGTCCCGGCGTTCTCCGGCCTATACGCCCCCTACTGGCGCAATGACGCACGTGGGTACGATGTTTTATTACAAAAGTTTAACGTTTGCGAGTTTTTCTATAGATGAAAATATGAGGTCCATGATCTTAAACTAATAAAAGAAGTGTTTATGTATTGTAACTTTAATATCACACAGGAATGAAGACATGACACAGTAACTCCTTGACCATTTTTGTTAGAACTAGAAAGTCCATTGACGTGTTAAAATTGGCATCAGTTTTATAATCAAATCAATTATCAATCAAAGAGATGGGGACGCAAAATGATAGTCAGGAACTGATTTACACATTACTTCAGGCTAGTCCTAGATGGTTGCGGCATTATAACATGGGTAAAATCCACTGGTGATTCGCAGGATTTGAACCTAGGACTTTGTGGACCGAAGTCCCACGCTCTACCACTAGACCAGCTTGCTCTCCAGCCAAATTATTTGTTTTCATCTGTAGGCCTAAAGATTGCACGATTAGAAATTCTTGATGTCGCCTCAGTTGCAAAAGACAATAATGATTTCACGATCATCATTTCAAGTTAAGTTAAATTGTAAAAACTTACTTTTGAAGATGTTATCTATTGTTTAACGCATAAGGTATGAAGGTGCACTGGAATTAAAAATTGATAATGTCTTCCTTAAGTGTTCATAAAGAATATTATTTCATTTGCTAATTTTTATGTAACATAACGTCATTGGCAGGATCATCTCCGGAATCACACAGGACACCAGGAAGGAGCACATCATACAGGCCGCTTTGGAGGCTGTGTGTTTCCAAACCAGGGATATTCTGGAGGCCATGAACCAGGATTGCGGGATTCCATTGACCAAGCTACTGGTGGACGGAGGCATGACTGTGAACGGCTACGCGATGCAGTTACAAGCTGACCTGTGTGGAATACCTGTCGGTATGTAGGCCTAGCCGGTATTACGTTATTTATAGGGGTCTGCGGTACTTACGATTCTGGCTTAATTACTGTCATCGGTTTAGCATTTTACACGGTACAAATTTGGTTCCGTAGAGCCTATTATAACAAAAAATAACTTCAATTTACTATTGTAGTCACCGGTAGTTGGTTCCAAGTACATAAAAGGCTTAACAGATGTTTGTTTACCATTTTCATAATTTGTTTCAAGATTTATGATGCAATAAAAACCCATTAGCAGTCCCAAATCCATTAATATTTTATCACGTACAATAATTGTTGTACTCAAGTAATTTCAAGAACTGCTGAGTTTTATCACTTTTATTCCTTTACAACTTTCCCCAATTCTATTTTATCTCTAACTTAGTAAGTATTTTCGTGAATATTCTATTTGCCGCTGGCCATTGCCTACTGCCATAAAACTGTTTATGGCTTTATATTAAACTTGTAACTAATCTACAATCTTATTTTATAAGTTAAAACTCGCCTTGTGCTCGCTGGGGGCTCCCGAGGCCCCCTTCTTTGGTTGGGGGTCAGTAGAAATGAGCCACAGGGGACAGGGTGTTTTGAGGCCATCCTTTTTAACACACACTTCTGGAACTAGTGGAAAATGAGAGAATAGGAAGTAACTTATACATTTGTCAATTTACATAAGCATAGTAAAATTTTTCAATCACAAATCTACATATTTTTTCATATCATACCCTCAAGTCACCAAAACTGTAAATACAATTTTTTTGTGAGGCTTAACTGAATGGGAAAGAGCACAAACTGGCACAATAGACAACTTTATATTAAAATCATAATGTAGGCCTAAAGTTGTGTGTCTATTGTAGCAGTTTGGATTCTTTCCCTTTTAAGTAACACAGCTATCCCCACAAATAATCCTAAAACCCAAAGCCTTTGTGTTCTATGTCACATCCTTAACCTACAAATATAAATAAGTTTACTAATTCCAAGTCTACTTCTACGTCAAGTTTGTTTTGTGGACATTGTCCAGAAGTCCTGCTTGGATTAGCAAAATTTGGTGTCCAACAAAATTCTTTCAATTTTGTGATTTACTAGATATAGGCCTACTATGTAATGGGTTTTAAATAAATAAAACCTTTTTGCAGTCCATCCTTGGATGTTCGAGGCCACAGCTCTAGGTGCTGCCATGGCTGCTGGGAGTGCCGAAGGTATTGGTGTGTGGGACCTGAACAATATGCAACCGGTACCCAGCGACACTTATCTGCCCACCATAACTGATGATGGTACGTGTGAGTGACTGTAGATACTGATAGAATACTAGCAATTGCAATGCTAAAACACATATGTTCTTTGCTATGGTTTCATCATCGTCAAATGCAATTGCAGCAATCTGTGCTATATGACTATGCAAAACCATTGAGATTGGTACCTGAGTAGACATTTAGTGGGATGTGTGATAAAATCTGTAATGATTCCTAGCATCAAACATCCAACTACACATTTGGCAATGTTGATAAGATACTTCAAAGAGATATGATTTGATAAATAAATGCCGGAAAAAAGTATTAATTCTTCCATAAGTTAGTTAGCTTTTTTAGTGATTTTTAGTGAGTCTTATAAATTCAGGTGTTTCACACTACAGACTGGCCACCATGCGTGGACACATTTTTTCTCCTCTTCCCTAAAAAAGGTTGATGTAGGTTGTTTTGAATTTCAGAACGAGATTTGAGGTATGATAAGTGGAAGAAAGCAATTCAAAAAAGTTTAGGCTGGGATCTAGATGCAACCCCTAGGAAAACTAATGGAAATAATCTAGGTAAGCAAACTTATTGATTGTAAATTTAAGGTTTTTATACCACTTTATTTTGGAGAAACCTTTTTTGTTTGGAGTTGTATAAGTGTGGAATTTAATGCACAAACGAACAGGTATTACCTCATAAGCAATAGGGTTATTAAAAAAAGACTTGCATTCGGATGAAATATCTAGTTTGATACTATATTAATAAACATTATACACTAGACCCTCTCTTAACCGACCAAGGATTAACTGATAATCGGATTATCCGCCCTTTCTCGTAAAATATTACAGTTTGTTTTAACTGACCTTGATTTGAGAGCAGTTTGGTTTAACCGCCGCTTTCTAGGAATCTCGGCATTTCCGTTCCCACATTCGGGGATGGGAACAATACGCTTAACTCTACAGGATGTTACAGGCTCTAGACAATAGACAATATAGGTACAACTATAAATAAACATAACCTGCCTGTCGTAACGAAATGGTTGCATGTTTCTTTAATTTGACAATAAGCTCTGTACTGTATTTAGATTAATTTGGAAAGGATCAATTAATATTACTAAAGGTATTAAAATAAGAATTTTTATTGACTCTTGCCCACAAATAGGCCTATAATGCTTTCTTTGTATTGGACTTTACCGTGTTTTGGATTTTTTTATGATCGTCAATACTAAAAAAAAGTAAATAAGTGTTGTTTCTTGTTTATCTTGTAAATAATGCACGCCCGACTTCAGAATAATAATTACATAATTCCTAATGAATTACACTTAATTTTTGTAAAGTTTTTAGGGATAGCCTGTTTTAACCGAACTTTTGAGTTATCTGACCTAGGTCCAGTCCCGTGTCGGTTGAGAAGAGACCTAACGTACAACACAAGTTAACAAAATAGTTGGGGAAGTTAACTACATAGGTTATTTGGAGGTGTACAAACCCGAGATTTCCCTGCAATCTTGAATACATTATAGTCACATGCAATAAGTAGCAAAGCTAAAATTCCAACCCCAAAAATCTTCAAAGACACTTTCTGCTATCGAGATAATATTTACTTAAGCTTGATTTTCTGACATGGTGCTCCATCACTCGAGCTTTTAAGCTAGGCTCGGCTCGGATACAAAATTGAGCTGCTCGCACACATCTAGGCTACTGTAAGTAATACTTTCGTAAGGCTCCACACAAGTACTTATCCAGTCAGTAGTACAAACAAAATTATTTGCAAATTGTAGATAATAAAACATTGACATAATTGTTTAATTTTTCAGAGAATAACATTCGTGTGCTATCCATGGTGCCTTGTGGACTATTCTTCGTATCGTCTTTTGCTCTGATGATATTTAGTAAATACCTTCAAAGCTGACACAGCTAAAACTACGACTAGTTTGAAGTAGCTTACCATCACATTGATGGAAATTAAAATTATACTATTTAGCGATAGTGTTTTGAGCTTTTATTTTTAGTATTAGAAGTGTGTTGAAGGGGAACTCAAAAATCAACTAAATATTATTTCTTTGACCTGTTTAATTTGACTCAGTGGCAATGTTTTATAAGACTAGATTCAATTAAGTCTCTTCATTTATTAATTATTAATTTACTGAAATACACAGTCGTGCGTTAAATTAATTGATCAAATCAATCCAAGTTGAAATAATAATCAACCAACATTCCATGGTTTTAATTTGAGATAAGATTTAAGATTTCCTCGGGAATATCTTAATAGTTTGAAAGTGATAAGTGTACCTGTAAAACTTGCAATATATTAAATGCATGGATTAAACTAAATTATATCATGACAGATGTATTACCTGGTGAATCCAGCGTATTGTTCCTTGGATTCTACTTACCATTATTTTTTACACAATTTCATGGATTTTTTGTTTTCTTTTGAGTCAAGTCAAGGTTAGTTTTGTAACACACTGTAAATTAAATCAATGTTGGTGCCAGAAAACATCATGTGCTTCCAGCAGCGTTATAATAAATCATGATTTTGTTTTATGTCAGAGACACATCCTTTATTATTGGAATACAAATTTGATCTTGGTAGGTTTTATAAACAATAAGATGAAATGTATCACCAAGTTCACATGCTTTTATCCTCAATAGAAAATCAAACTAGCACTGACCGTCAATTTATAAAATAGGCATACTTACTATCAATGTGTTGTTTTCTTAAGGGTTGTAATGCTTATGTTTTATTGTTATTGTTTGTTTTAATATTTAAGTTGTTATGTAGTATGTTGTTATAGTATATTTCGTACCTAGGGCCGAAAATGGGGTTTTGCCGGCTCGAGATAGTTTTTAAGTTCGAGACGAAGTCGAGAACTTAAATCGATCGAGAGCTGCAAAACCATTTCGGTCCGTGGTACGAACGCTATTTTTCACCACACTATACCCTATTACCACTATTCACCACTATAATAATGCACACTGATCGTCAACACAACTACAACTTTAAGGTTATGTGAAGAAATAATTTGAAGAATCAGCAAAAATATATATAAATAGTTGCTAGGCAACGGTGACAATAACACAATTCTATATTGCAATGCTATGGATTTTGATTGTGTATTTAAAACGCATTCATGTTTTAAGTAAGTAAGCGGACAGCTGATTTTGCGGCCCCGGAATGTAAAAACCTGCTCGGTCCCCAAATTGGCGACAGCTGGCATGGCCAGCAAAACGTAACTTTCAGCCACCAATTAACGTATGTAAAACAGCCAAAAACATCATAGTGTGGTGAAAAAAAGGTTGTTGTAGAAAATGGACTCTTTACTTTTTTCCTTTGGTTATTGAAACACTTTATTTGACGTCCTGCTAAGCTGATGGGTTCAACAAGCAATGAGTTTTTATAGAAACTTTCATTGTGAATACTCCAGAATTTAAATTCTGTCTAAATGAGTACAATGCTTACAAACTCTTAAACTTTTAGCACTTACCTTTCGAGTGAAAAGTTTTTTCGGGAGCTGAGTTTCCCGGTTAATCTATTCCTAAAAAAGAATTTATTCATGTCGAAGCCTTCCGGAATTGGTAATGAATTATAACAGGTTTGGTACCTTGACATCCACAATTCCTACTCCTTCTTCTGTGAGTAGAATTGTTGACCAGTTCAGTGACGTGTGGCGGCCGGCCAACTTTGTTAAATTTCTACCGAGTTGTGTTATGTATGTGTGTTAAATATGTTTAAAATTCAACAATATTCAATGAATGGAATATTTTAACGTTCTGTTTTTTGATAATGACTACTTAGTAGTCGAAACTAGTCAGCGGAAGTTCGACTGAGGAATTGAGGACTTCAAGGTACGTAACCTGTTATAAAAAAAGGAGGTGGCATTTAAAGTTCAATCTTAGAGAGAAAAAAACAAATACTGTATACATATTTCTTTTTTGAACTCCATATTAGGCCTAAGTAATCAGTTGAGAACATAAAGGTTTGGGTGGAAATAATCTAAACGTGAGGTTGAAGACCTCTTGAAATTTGTTGTTGTTAACCATATTATTGATTTTGTCCTCAAGGCATTTGCTTTTTACACACGTGTTGTCATCTTAAGTTTTATTTTTATAGCTTACTAGTTGTTACCCAAGGGCTTGACCCCGTTTGACTTCATAAGTATCGTATAGTCAAAGTTATTAATAAAACTATTGATTGGTTAAGTTAAGCTGAAATAAATAAAACAGAATATAGTAATAAAAACAAATAATCACACCTGATTTTATTTAATAAGGTAATAAATTGAAAGAATAAGGCCGCGTTTACACTATGTAACAAAACACTGTTTTATAACATTGTTATAAAACTTTTCACACAGGAATGCAGTTTGTCTAAAACAAAAGTTATATAACATTGTTTGAATAACAATGTTTTAAAACACTTTTTAAGGAATGCAGTTTCATGACTTTAAAAGTTATATAACCTTGTCTTAAAACAGTGAAAGTTTGTTTTAAAACCATGTTACATCTTTCCCGTCCATAGTCGGGATATAAATAACTACCTGATGTACCCGTGCTTCGCAGCTATAAGCCTAGTTACACTATAAAAGTTATTTTACAAAAATATTGTATGAAATAATAATTTATAAAATATACTTTGTATAATTTGTTTGATATGTACCAGATAAATGGGTATGTTTACACTATTTCGAAAGTTTAAGGTAATAGTCCAGTACACAAAATATATGAACCATGCACGAAGTCCGGTAGTTATACACATCAATAAATGTAATAAAGGAGAAGTTATAAAAGAAGTCTTTTCTAAAAGATTACCATTGTTTTGCAAAAAGAATTGTGTACAATATCTTCTATAAAATAATTTCCAATGTATGTCCAGTAAGAGCAAATATGAGTCAGCTGTTTAGATGAGCCGTTCTGTATGCGGTGGGGCACACGGAAGAAGCCATCTTGGAAAGAGAGACGTGTTTTATAACTTTGTTTAATACTTAAAAAGATAGTAAACATTTGTTATCAAACTTTATTTTATAAGACTGTTTTACAACAATGTTGTAAAACGATGTTATAGGTTTTTTTCATTTTCTTAAAACATTGTTACATAACAAAGTTACAAAACAATGTTAGGTAACTTTGTTTTAAAACTTTGTTACATAGTGTAAACGCACCTTAACAAACAAATAAGTACAGCTGAGGTATTTTTAACATTAAGTATGTGGAAAGTTCCCTTTAGAAAGGAATTACGACCTTAAAGGGCAATTTATGAAATAATGGATAGTTTTGCGCAAGGTTTCTCGTCATAACAAACATTTTAAGTACATCGTTTATGCGGGTGTGACTTGTAGTTTTTCTCAAAAGTTCATGGGTACTTTGGGATTTTTATTATGGATTATGATAACTTTTTTTAGGCTCTACAATCATGTTCAAGACTCGCCAAATACCTTTTTTTTTAGTTTAAGTTCAGAGAACTTCAAATGCTTTTGTGCCAATATATTGTGTATGTATGATAGTATATTAGTAGTAAGTTAGCTTTAGTTGTTTTTAGATGTTTGTTTATTATTTAAAACCCCATTAAAAGTTTATTTGTTGTAAAAGTAGGGATTTAATACCCAAAAAACTTTTTTTTTAACGATTATTTTTCTTGATCTCAATTCTCAACACAATTATGTAGCTCTAAAACCTCCTTATAAAGTAGAAATTTGTTGTTGAACTAATATAGTTAAATGCAATAATATTACTGTAGCAAAATCTATATACATAATATTAGAGTTGAAGAAATAGATTTAGTCTTATTCTCAGGAATAATGTTGGGATTTATTATTTAGATGTAATTAAAACTATACATAATTAAATTGGGATATTATTAAGATTCCCAATAGAATTGAATTTAAGTTCTTAGGGAAAGATGCTATTGCTTCTTTAAATAACACCACATTCAAACTATCTTATGGTGAAATATTTCACCAAAATAAATTATTAGTTCAATGTTCAATTATTCCTAAGTGTTTGGACGGTGCAAATTAGTCTCTATTTTATACATAATATTTTTTCCTTTTTCTGCTAACTTGTAACTTTAGGGAGTGTCGTTTGTTATGTCCGCTTAATTTAAAATAATTTTTGACTTTGTTATGAAAAGACTGTTGTTTTGTTAATAAATTGTTTTGTGTTTTCAATTGGTTTTGTGTTTTTATCACCTTAACTTGGATAAAAATTATATTTATTGATTGAAACGTTTAGTTAAACTATACAGTTATGTTATAAACTCTACAGTACTACTAATGATACCACAGACACAAAATCGTTTCTTATAATATATTTATTAAATCTCAAAGCAAAAAGTAAAAAGATGAACAATCACACTTTAACGATATTCAGCTCCTCATTTTGGCCCAAAATATTGATTTTCTTAAGTGATGCTTCATCAATAACCAATTCTTTTAACTCACCAAAGTCCTGAATATTCACATTTGACACATTGCCTAAGAAAGCAATATTTAAATGTTTTAACTTTTTAGCCTTTGTTAACGTTTCTGCAATACCCTGAAGACTCACACCCTTACATCCTTGTAAACTAAAAACCACCAAGTTCGGACAAGATTGGACCACGTCGCAACACTCATTGTTACTTAAGGAATCACATTTTTCAAGCCTTAAACTCTCGATTTTCATTCCAAATTCATTGTTTATGAAAAGAGAAACATGAAAATCATCTTTGTTCAGGCCATGAGTTGGACCTTCAATACTTAAATGCTTTAACTTCCTCAACTGGTGAGGAATTTGATTCAAAACCGATTTACTTAGATTCAATGCATTGTTGAGTTTAAGATCAACCAGTTTGATGCAGCTGAGGATTTCCTGAAAATTAATTAAAAAATTTAGAGCCATAAACATACAGAAAATTTGTCAATGGAGCTGTCAAGTTTAACCTAGTATTTCAGCAAGTTTCTCCTGAGGCAAGAAGAAAGTAGCCTACTGTTTGTAATATAATAATTACTCATATGATTTGTCTTTAGTCCTTTGTGCTTGGCCAGCGAGTTCAAACTAACCATAACTTATATATAAACATTAATTTTCCAAAAGCAGATGGTTTCAGTATCAAAGAGTGAATTGGTGACTGGTAAGACCATAATTAGTTTTGGTGTAAATACCTGCATTTATGCGATCCTGTTTGTAGCTGAGTTGGTACCGGTTTCAACTCGCATATGAGTCATCTTCAGGCTATTAAAGATGTATTCTCGCTTCATTCAAAGGTCGTCAATTGATAATAAATAAATAAACAAAACACAAACAAGTGAAATAGGAACATTTAGGATAAAAAAAAAAAAAAAAAAAAAACTGAAAAGGTAGGCCAACAGGACAACGTAATCAGGCGGGAGTTGTGTCTAGACTGTCGGTCAGGATCAACGTGGTCAGTGATGACGTCGCGCCTAGATTCCCCAATCAACTGATAATTTCATTCACAACTGTCCCTTCATCCAGTATCTTAATTGCATGTCGTATGTAATTAGATTGGAACGAAATCTTATCGTTGATTCTGTTTTATGGATTCCGAATTCTGTGTTCCTAGTGTTTCTATTGAATCGGCCATTTTATAGGTGCGGGATTTTCATATTACTATCAATACTATTGTAATTGTGGTTGAGAGAAACCAGATGTTCAACCTTTATTTTCTTTTGAAAAATTAGTCAAGAATGGTTTACTCAAGATAATTTTAAAAGTTTCCTTTCAAAATCAATCCTCATAAATTATTGTTTTCAAAATCTGAATTTCTTATAAACTACCTATTGAATATCTGAAACGCAACCAAACCTTACATTGTAAACCTTGCCCCCTACTCCTCCCATATCTAAATGCAGAAGGACAAGTCGTGGACTCATCATTCTTATGAGGTGAACAAACTCCTCATCTGTTATCTTGGGCCTCTCACATCTCCTTGAGAGTTTGAACTCTGTTATATGACTGTTGTGGACCAACCTCATCAGGTCTTCCATGGTTATAAACTCATTGAGGCTCAGATCTATGCTGGTAATGTTCGGAAGTGTTGCTAGCAGTTCAAAAAGCCTGTAAAAGTTGATATTGTAAATACGCAGTTAATGTAATTTTTGTTTATGTAACAATTGAGAGGTATTAAAATGTTACTCATTCAGGCATGACTATATTTTATTAATATTATATTGAATACAATTTATTTTGAATTGTTTTGAAGTAATGTTATTCCATCCCTCAATACGTTTCTGTACTTACATAAAACTTGGAAACATAAGGTAAATCACATTCCATAAGAAAAACATGGGCTAGTTTATTTTATAGGAATGTGCAAATAAACATCAGCATTATCGTTAATAACTCATCTTAAAAGATATTATTGATTTCCTGGTTATATTAGGCTCCTTTGACCAACTAACCTTTTTCATTTCCAAAATCGCTCTATGGATATGATGGGCTAATTTTATGTTAACTTTTGTCTGCACTAATAGAACCATTTCACCCATTTCACTTATATTACAATGTAGTACACTCACAGGTGTGACCTGAACTTAGTGTTGAACAATTCTATGGTGTTCAACTGCGGTAGCGACCACAGAATGTTGATGAGAACGTCTTCAGGAATTATATCACCATTTGATGAACATTCTTTTAAAATAAGTTTTTCAATGTTTCTGTTGCACCTGGAAACCCCAAACAAGCTTTAAATAACTGTCATCTTTCATTCACCTTCTACAATTTTGGAAAATAAGGATACTGCCAAAACAGTGGAATCAACATAAGACCTTTGAACAGTGTTTTCTTTTCGATTTAGTTAGTCAAGTCCTCCCACCGAAACACAACTTACAGAAAAAATACATTCCTATGTAGGCTAACTTTTTTTGTAAGCTGTACCAACATTTCTTAGGTTTCATACATACACATCTAAATGTTTCTGGCATACAAGAGGAAACACAAAACTCATTCTTCATGACTAATACATTTGTTTACCAATCAGTACTAAAAACCTTGATCTTCTAATCCAATACACAACATTAATTAGGTGGTATGTAAATTGCATCTTCAGCCTTAAATAGTGGACTTTCTTAAAAATGCTAACTACACCCCCTATTACTTGTACTCATTGTACAAAGTGTGACAAAAATAATGCCTCAAAATATCAAAATACAGTATATGTAATCATACTTGCACATATATGGAACAAAAAAGTGTTATTTTTAGCATTTTTCCTCTTTCTAAAAGGAACAAGTAACCGTTGTCGTCAGCAAGCTAGACGCTTTGTTTTTCTGTCTCGTAAAACATGTTTGCCATTGTTATTAGTTCCTGAATGTTTGACACATTTAGTTAGCACTAGTTTTTCACTGATATCAAATCAAATCAAATCAATCAATCTTTATTCCAAGACAAAAATCATACAATGCTGTAACTTATAGGCTATTTGGTCTTTTAACTGAAAATTTAAGTAAAAATACAAATATCCTGAATCAGTCTGTGATTGTGTGACAATAGGTTATTGTGAACAATTTCCATTTAAACCTTTTATATTCAACAACAAAGATGAAGCCATGCCAACTTGCTTTGGTTAATGTTTAGATTATTTTTGTTATCACATTTTTAGAATTAAATTTCAATGAATTGATACTGAACATAGCCGATAGCCATAGATTTTTAAAATAACATAATGGTTGGTAACTAGCACTATTTGCTAAATAAGTAAATTCTTACCTGCTAATTTGCCTTAATATTGGAACAGAGTTGTGACAGGAAACCAAGGTAACTGAATCTAACGAGGGAGAGTTGGAAAGCACAAAACATATATCTTTAGCGGACACAGATTCTCCTTCAAAGTAGGCATTCTTCACATGCAGCGAGTGAGAAGAAGCCAATTTCCACTTCTCACACACAAACGGAACGTTATTGCACAAGTCTTTCTCATCTACGTATGAAAATATTCTACTCAATAATGGGGAAGGAAAGTTTTGAATGTGTTTCTTATTCATGGTGAGTATGTAGATAAGTTACTGTTGTAATTTTATGTTTACACTTGTGTTTACAGTTTGACAGACAGCTGGGTCAGTACACCTATCCATTTGACTATATTGATAGCATAGACAAACAGAATTAAATATTGATATTAAAGTTGTCAGGGTTTTAACATAGACAAAAAGAATGAAATATAGACCGTCAGCTGTGCTGCGGTTACCATAGCTTCTGGCGCACACCGCTTGGAGCGCCATGTATTTATGGCGTACGCGCTACGTAAACTACAGCGGTGTGCGCCGGAACCTATGGTAACCATGGTAACCGCAGCACGGCTGACGGTCTATATTTAATTCTTTTTGTCTATGGTTTTAATCAAAGTCGCTGTGGTTTACGTGATCCACCAACAGATTGTGCTGATGTAAATTACTGATTTCTGTAGAATACACACTTTTTCACCAAGTCAATCTGATAGAACCACTTATTGTGATCTATATCAAGTTATCACCCATTTAATATTTCAGCAAAAAAAAAAATACTAATATTAAGTATAGTATCTTTTATCACTAGTGCATTCTATACCTGGCTCACACAACTATTTTTTTTTTATAAGAAATTTGAAACATCTGATTCATAGATGAGATGTCTACTTTATTATCCAATAATCAATCTCTATACTCTTTGGTTTTTCATGTAGTCTTAACTCCAAAAGTATCGCTACTTAAAAGTACTAACAGATACTGATAGAATGTGAAAATCTATAGCTACAACTTGCTTGGTATACTAAGAATAGTCATGCATATTTTAAATGGGTCATCTTCGTCTTCTTATAGACAGATGAACACCCTATTAATTTAAACTTACAAAACCTTGAAAAACCAACCTTATTAACAAGACCTTGAAGTAACCCTTTAAGTCTTATGTTAAAGTCATACCCAGCATTAGAACAAAAAGGAAAAAAATCAGTTTACAACAAAGTGTGTTTAATTACAGCAAAGTGTGCTCCTATAAAAAAAATCTTTTTCATCAACTTAAATCATGCCATAAAAAAAAGAGCAACTTGTTGTAAAATTAAGTATATTTTATGTCCCTATACATGATTACGTGGAAAGTTAACTGTAAGAATAATAGCACACAAGGAGTGGCTCATTCAAATGTTCTTGGAGTAGAAAAAACCCAACTGGTCAATAAAGATAGATGTTTATTTCACTATCTAAAATCAATGGTACTGTAATCAAGATATTGAAGAATGTCTTGAAGAATACTGCTTCACAAGACCCACATGGTTTTCAAACAATGTGTTTGTATTTGTACATAAATAAAAACAAATAATAGGCATTAAATATTTTAGTATTGGTTAGTAAAGCATTTAAGATTATTTGGTAATTTTATAAAAATGTTTAAGGTTTTGTCAGTTATTTCCGTGATGATTATGGTTTTTCTTTGTGTGTTCTATTACATGTATCCAAGTGTTTTCAAGAAATATAATCACAAACTGGTTAATCCAGGAAGTAAGAATATGTTATCTATTTATCTATTAATAGGCAAGCACAGTGTTGATTAAAAAAAATTAAGGTGCCGGAACTGTAACCTATTTAATGTTATTTGTAACTATTTATGCCAATTTTTATCTTTCTTAAAGAGAGGTACCGGAACTGCGTTCCCCTACAAATCGAGCACTGGGCAAGCATATTTCTTTAAAATCTTTTTTCTCAGCTTGTGTGCATCGTAGGGAAAATCTACGTATACAGTTTGAAAGATATTTCCTGTAGGTGTGCAGAATCCCTTTATCAATAAAAATAGGCTAAAAAATAAGCAAATAAACGGTATCAGCATTCTGACACATACTTTCTCCCATAAGTTTGTCAACAACCTTTATCATGTGTAAACGGTGAGAGTAAATATACGGAAATGGGATTTGTACAATTTTGTTCAGAATTTAAAGGACTATAACATACTAAATTTTTATCAAAATTGTTCGAGCCAATTTTGGGAAATCCGATTTTTCCGTTATTTTATGGGGTTTTTATGGAGAAATAACATAATTTACAATAACTTTTGAACCGTATTTTTTACAGAAAAGGGATTTGTACCATTTTGTTTAGAATATAAAGGACTATAACATACTAAATTTTTATCAAAATCGTTCGGGCCATTTTTGGGAAAATCCTATTTTTCCGTTATTTTATGGGGTTTTATGGGAAAATCCTCATCTAAAATCAAAATTTCTATAATATGAAAAAAAACTATCAAAATTGTAAGGACCATAACCTACTATGTTAAATCAAAACTGGATTTTTGTCTAAAATCCTATTTTTTGTTATTTTATGTGGTTTTTATGGGAAAATAACATAATTTTCCATAACTTTTGAACCGTAATTTTTACAGAAATGGGATTTGTACCATTTTGTTCAGAATTTAAAGGGCTACAACATACTAAATTTTAATCAAAATCGTTCGGGCCATTTTTGAGAAAATCCGATTTTTCCGGTTTTTTATGGGTTTTTATGGGAAAATCCCCATTAAAAATCAAAATTTCAAAAAAATGAAAAAAACGCCTGGAGATACTATGGATTAGAACCTACATACCAAATTTCATCGAAATCGGACCACAGGTGTAGTCTCTAGCTCTGTACACATCCAGACACACAGACACACACACACACACACACACACACAGACATCACTTCGAAAACCACTTTTTTGGGTCCAGGGGGACCCAAAACGAATATATCCACTCAAAACTCAAACTCGAAAATTTTGACGAAAACAATACTTTCTCCATATACTATGGTATAGGGGGAGAAAGTAAAAAATGAATTTTAAATTTCAAAAATTAACAGGCCTTATGATGGGTTGTCATGCTGGTGAGGAAATAACAACGAAATACAAACAAAAAATCTAAACAAATGTAATAAATTCCAATCAAGATGGTTTTAAGGACTTATTAATGCATTGAAACGGGTTTTCTCTCTTAGAATTAATTTTCTGTGGTATTTATATAATGACCATCAACCATAATATTTAAGACAACATTTTTCTAAAGAGTTGTTTAAATACTGAATACATTTATTTATTAAAAAAAAGAACATTGAAAGCCTTTCATACTTTGGAACTTATTAGCTGAAATTTGATAACAATCAATTAACACTAATCTCCTACGGTAACCATTTACTTTTGCTACTATCTATTTAAAAGTACCGGTACCGGTAGGCTATATATGGATTTGATATTGGTAATCTCAAAACTATTTGACACAAAACTGCACATGATTCTTATTTATATTTATAGGAAGGTAGATTCCTCGATCAAAGCAGCCTTTTGAATTTAGTTGTTTGGGAAATGACCAGGTCAAGTCGTTGATCAGTTTGCTTTTAAAATATACAGTACTAACTAATACACAGCTCAAATAATAAAATTAAACTCTTGTTTTAGCCTATGAGAAATTATTAACAAACTATTACTTTTTATCTTCCAGCTTGGGGAACAATTGAAATTGTTCAAGAAAAACCAATTGGCAATATAAAAAACATCTTTCATTCCCAAATCTTGTGGCAAATTCTGGAAAACCTCTGCGGTTTTGTTACTGGAGTTCTCTTCTGTGGTTTGATTGGACGATCATTTAGCAATACACATTGTGAGTTCATACTTTTGTTTGGAGTATTTACTATTTTAAACATACTTGGCTTCTAGATCACGTTTTTTGAAAATAAAAAGGTTAAAATGCTTTTGCACTGTCAGTGATCCTTTTTTTAAATCTGCAACCAAGGTTTCAAACCAAGTGGTTGGAAAAATCCTCTTCATCCTTGGGGAAGAAGAGAAATAACAGAAATCCCAGGTAGAAGTGGAAGAGTCGTCAAATACATTTAAAACTTTGAAAAACACATTTAACAAATATGTGGCCAAATTGTAATAGGTACTGAAAATCAGTCACATGGTGTAGCTTGTAGGCAGGTTGAAAATGAACCTTTAGGTTTGAAACCTTGGTCACAGACTATAAAACAGATTATTGACAATTAACCAGGCACTTAACCTTTTAATTTACTATTTGAACAGAAATCATAAAAAGAAATGTTAACTATCTGAATCCATGGCTATAGAGATGAATAGTCTTTACTTGCAGTAGTTTCATTTATTCACTTATTATTGTTGATTGGCCTATTAGAAGAAGAAATTCAGCATACCTACATTCCATTCGCACAGTACCAAATGGTCTAGCTATACAAAAGAAAATTGAATTTACTAAAATAATAACAGGAAGAAAAAAACAATCCTTTAGTTTTGACATGAAGAATTGTAATTAGCTTCCAAGAAAAAACAATAAATTGTGTTTCTTGTTTCAGTGACATCGATGGAAAACTCATTGAAAGAAAGTACTAAACGGCTTCATGAGCTTCAACAGCAGGTGAGTGAATATACAACACAAGAATAATAGTTTATAATTATAATTATTTAATAAATAGAGAACTTAAACAAGAATATGTTTTATCTTTCAGCGTTATTAAATCCAATCATAACAGATAAACCATTCCTTTAGCTTACATATTTTTGATACCTTTGTAAAATGAAATATCAATACTCTTCATTATAAAAAAAATCTTGGATAGTTGTTTATCCTAAGTATAAATAGTCATTTCACATACCGTAATTTAATTTTCAGGGATAGTGTGTTTCCCTGTTACTTTTCATTAATTGTTCTGCCTTTCAGGTAGCCAACCTTAGAGAAAAGCTACTTACACAAGAAAGCATGGATACTCCGATTTTAGCTGAGGAAAGCCAACTTCTATTGACACATGAGGAAGTTACACATATGAGTCAGGTAATGTTTTTAAACTTCCAGTAATGTAAGTCAATTTTCTTTTTGGATAGTATCAGTCAGTGAAAACAGGTTGAATAATTAATAGTAGCATGATAGTAGTAATCTAAAAAAGTGCCAAGGAAAATGAAAATATTGGACAACACTTTTTTACTTTAATGTAATACATTAGTGAACATTCATATTTTACCACCCCTTGGACTACAGGACTTGAGTAGGACTCAGAACTTGTAGGAATGATTGTAATGCACCATCAAAATATTAGGTTTAACAACCCTATTCAATGAAATGAAATGGCTAACTTATTTATTATTTACAGCCCCGTGATGCATACTGCCAACAAGATAAATATCAAAGATTGGTGAATCGAGTAGTAGAAGAAATCATTAAACTTGACATTGATGGATCCAAATTTGAAAGATTGTTGGAAAAACTTATTAAATTATTAGAAATATTGTCAGAGACAAAAATGACTACGGAAAATCTGAACTTTTTTCTTAGTTTGTTACCGACACAGAAAAGTGAAGAAATAAATAATCAGATGGAGTGGGGAAAGGAGGATGTTAGAACTGAAAATAAAACAAATACTGTGGAAAATGAAAATACATCTTTGGATAATGAGGCAAAGTCAGTAACTTGTAGTCCTGAAGACACAGAAGTAATTAATTCACATTGTGAAAAAAGCAGAAACATTTCTTACGAATTACATCCAAGCGAGTCGACGGACAATTCCTCCAGTCTGATTTCTTTGACGGCCGGCGCAGGCGAGTGCGAGGAAACGTATCATGCTCGGATTGTACCGATCAGCCAAATACCAAAGTTCCATGAACTTCGGAAAGGACAAAAACCAAGAGCACAGACTCCGACGGCTTACGATGAAAAAAATCCTGTTTCTTCAAAAAATACTAACCAAATTAGTGACAGAACATTGGGGACTCAACAAACTACTCCAAGGGTAATATCTTCTCCGATTGAGTTGCGAACGGCTGGCAGGGGTGGTAGAAGAATACAAAGAAGTTGAAACAATCCATTCTGATATTGTTATTGTCTTTACCAACATTTTTAACACAATTTAAATAACTGAGTAAATTTTGAAATATTTTGGTAAATAACCTCAATATAATTGAGAAATTTGTTAATTAAAATTTTGATTATTAATTAAATTTTTTATTATAATTAGCTGTTTACTTATTTCAAGGTCAAAAACCTTTCAAATTCATAGATTGGCTTCTACGGCATATGTCAACTTGTCAAATGTTGATCTTGGGATATTCTGGATATTCCTGCACAGTCAAACTGGTGAAATTAAATTATGTTGGACTACTGACGTTTTTGATGACAGCAATTCATCTTTGGGTCAAACTATTATTCAACTGTTGAATTGTATACACTGGACATTTAACAATGAGATCATCTCCCAAACTCTATAAAGGTTTAAATAGAACCAAGGGTATTTGTTGCTGTATGAATATGGCCTATTAATAGTTAAGAAGACTATTAAAAAAGTAAATGAAAAACCACGAAGGCCCAATGTTATAAGTTGAAAAGTAGAACATCGCAAATAGCTTCATAATTTTTTTATCGGCAAACTGCTGAGTGAGTTAATGATTTTATTTAATCATTTCACATTAACTTATTATTTATTTACCGTAAACATACTTGAGGATACTGGATAAGAAACTCACACCTGTGTTTCTTTTCTGATACAACAAAAGGGTGAGAAGAATGAGAAGTCTGCTTGCTTTGTCTTAAGTCTATGTATTAGCGACACTAGGATAAATAATAACTGTGCAAGAAAAGGATAAGTGATTTAATTTACTTCTTCGATTTTACAAACACTTTTCAATCATAATGTTACGTAATCTGATACTTATAATTTATCTTATTTTGATAAATGACAAATCCTGTTGTTTTAAAATATTTAAAAAATATTATTTATTACTAAATATATATGATCATACTGTCATCCAAATATTCAGTTTAAAATGATACATTTTTCACTAATACACCGAGAAAAAAGATAAAAAATATCCTGATTCATACAATTTAATGATTAATTACATACTAAATATATATGTATTTACAAGTCATTTAAATAAAAAAATCTATTTCAGAACACAAAAAGTAACAACTATCAACAATCTATATACAATCACTACCAAGCATTGATTAAAGTTATAGTCATTTTAGTAAAAGAATACAGTTCAGCTAATTTACCTGATATAACCTTTGTCCAGGTCCAGAGCATAAAGGATACTAGTTTTTACAACACAGTGCCTAATTTGGTGGAGTAATACTTCTTCAAAGAGAAGAATAATTTTTTTGTTACTGTGCACTTGTTTTATTTGCCTCTTTATTTTTCTGGAACTTTATCCCTTTTCTAAAAGTCCTTCAATCAGCCTTATGATCCTTGAAATCTGATATTGAAATCTAATTGTTGGGTGATTTGTTAGTCTCAAAGTAAAACTTAGACGACCCATTGACAAAAGCCAGTAGACTGTTGCATTTCCAAGCTGGCGACTGGGAGATTACAAAGCTGTCGTCTGCAATATAAAAATTACAACCAATAAGTATGATAAGTATAAAATAGACGAGTAAAAAATCAAAGTATTATTTGTATTTGTTATTGTATGTGGTAGTGAGTAAAAGCACGGCCTCCTCTAACACAAGGCCGAGCAGTTGGTGTGTGGCAGCATCACACTGGCATGCCTATTGACATAGTAATAACAGGAATAAAAAACTTGTTAACATAAGATATTGTGCATACTCCATTATAAATGAGTGTAACAGCTGTTGCATGTCGGGTCTGCGGCTTTGCCACTTTTGTCACGACCTGCCTTGTATTAGAGGCTACTGTTGATGTGGTCCGATTTTGATTAACATTTAGCATGTTCATGTTATGGTTCTTTAACTATAACCAAAAATGCTTACCCTTGATGATTGCTGTTGACAAGCTAACGGGAGAAGGTGTGTCAATTTTCCAATACCGTTTATTTTCCTTAAAAATTTTTAATATGATTCTTTAAGGGCCTTCGTTCAATCATAATTTAATTCAAGTTAAATAGTTACCCAATAAAACTAACTACTTATTGAGTACTGTAGCTTTAAAATATAACATTTGATTAAAATATTAATCAGACAAAAATATTGGTTCAATCCTAAATAAAGTCTAATGATTCAAAACAAGACCCTTATGATAGCCTAGCTGTGGAAGTTTGATCGAGTCACCCTTGATTGCCAAAACATTTGCCTTTGGTGACTCAGATAGAGGTATTTAAATGTGTCTTTGCTCACCTAATGGCGATATCAGTGCGAGCGGAGAGTGCTCGCTTGAAGGTGTCAGTGCCGGTGAACAAACACTTGCGCCTCACCTGTCTCTCCCTCAGTGCGACGTGTAGGGAGGCTACAGGGTGAAGCAGTCCTGGACCTTCTGTGTCCTTGCCTTCTGTAATACACATTTTATCATTGCTTATAACTAAGCCATTGAAATTTGTTATTTGTAAGGAAACTGGCCAAAAACTCTGGTATTGTTTGATACTACCTATGACAACTTTTTGTTGGATAGCACCATTAATTGATGGGCGACCTTTAGATTAATATTTCTTGAATGATCATTTTATATGAGATAGTTGAGTGATAACTAAGTCAGTTCTTTGCCCTCTGTAAGTGATTTTGATACTTTTCAAAATTCTTACTCCTATGACATTGATAACCTATAAATTTATCATTCTAAAGACATTGACGACCATCCCTGCTTTGATAAATGATTAATGAACAAGTAAGTATTGAAATCAACTTTTTACAGATGGTTAAAACTTAATGAACCCAGAACTCGACCATGAAGGACACCATAATCAGCTTTGGCTGCACTTGTAATTGACCCAAGGACAATAAATGATTAAAAATTCTAAACATCTTTACTGTGTATGGAAACCAATTATTCCAAACTTGAGCGCTTCCAGTGTACACCAAACTATAGACAGATTCAAAGATTTACGGAGAAGTCCCAATGTGTTTATTACTTTATTGATATTATTTAACAAAATTTTATCAAAATTTTCCTGCTAAAAATGTATAAAAAAAAAGTAAGGTACAGAGGAAGCACACTTGTGGAACAACTGTACGCTTTAGCTCTAGTGTGTTGTGCCAGAAATAACTTGTGATGAACAAGGAAGAACTTGATCGGCAAACACTGGGGAAATTCCTATTGCACATGGTCTTCCTCCACCGTGAGCACTGTAGTACATGAGGACGAGGGGCTGGTGTTGGACTTTGCCCTAGACACCACTTAAATTTACCATTGAATGTCTCCTCTGTTACCTTACATCTCTGGGCTGCTAGCAACCACACTGACCTTCCGGCTTGAGTGACTTTTGTATCTCGTCAAACACCTCCTGGCCGGCGTACTGCAGACTGACACCTATACGCGCCAGTACAGCTGTAGGTTGCCATCTGCGTCTAGCTGCGCCGGGCTCAGTGTCGGTGGCAGGGCGAGGCGGACGACTCTCACACACTAGACTGGCCCAGTCTACACCCAGGGCATCTCCTAGACCTGTCACACCACATCAGCACTCGGTAAAAGTAAATAAAACAAGGTAGTTTGCAATAATTTATCATTTGAGCCAACAGTTTTTAGCTTTTAGCTTAGTACCTGCAATTTGCAAACTAATTTTTAAGTCTCAAAAATAATTATCAGAAGTAGAAGAATGCAAAATCATATGCAAATGTAGCATGTCAAATTCCTCTTTCCGAAAAAAAGAAAAAAATACAAGTAAAATATTTAGATGCTAGGCTCTCTCTGCAAAACCTTATACATTTTTTTAGGGCACTAGCACTATGTTTACAGTTTGCACGATTGTATATAAACTTAAGGAAAGTGAAGACTAGAAGACAAATCTATACTATTATATAAAAATCTAATGGTGTCTGTCTGTAAGTGTATTACTAATAGGTGCAAAAACTACTGAACCAACTGGGCTTAAGTGGTACAAAAATATAGCTACCATACCAAGGAACATTATAGGACTATTCACATTTCTGTGACAACAGCAATTATAGGGCTTCTTACTGTGATAAAGCAGTAAACACTCCTACAAGTTTAGACCTAAGAAATTCTCCTACAGCAGAAAATCAACATAATAATATAAGCAGCACGCCTGTTACTAATAACTCAGACTTCCAAACACAAATTTTACTACAGGAGCTGAAACAAGCTAAAGCTGAAATTGAAAATCTAAATAGCATCATAACCATATTGAGGAAAGATTATAAGGATCTTGAAGAAAGTATCACAAAAGCTAGTATAGAACAAAAATGTCTCACCTGCTTTCCTACATTAAACCCTCCACTAACCCAGAACTCACAAGAAAATTTATGGCAGACACCTTTACATACATCGAGAAACAGGACTACAACTCAGAAGCCGTCAGTTGCTACCCAAAACAAATATGAACTTCTTTTAAAAAATTTTAGTGAGGAAACTGCTAATAATGAGTCTACAAACCTAGAGGCATTCGTCACTCAATCAGAAGAACCTAAACAAAACAAAACCACACTTAATAAGAACTATGTAGCTGCAATTAAAAAACAGCTAAAAAGTAAAAACACATCTGTCACCAACTCAAGGCTACTAATTATGGCGGATAGTCATGGACATGGTTTAAGCAACATGGTGCAACAGTGTACTCCTATAAATGTCACTGCTCATGTGAGACCAAATGCTAAATTTAGTGGTGTTACTGAAGATATTGTAGATCTCGCATGGAACCTGTCAAAGGAAGATTACCTGCTTGTGGTAGCTGGAACTAATGACGCTGGTCATACAAAGGTAAAACATATCTTGGATGATGTTCGCACCCTACTTCTTACCACACGTCACACCAACCTAATCATAGCTACATTACCTATGCGCCATGACAAACCTGAGTTGGACAGTAAATTAACAATAATAAATAAAGAAATTGAGAAATTAATATTACACTCATCCAACAATGCTCAAATCCTCCCACTTCACAATCTGCCACGCCATTATTATACCAGTCACGGATTACACTTAAACAAAAAAGGAAAGAAAGCTTTTACAGAGAAAATTTTACAATGCATTAATAAAAACTCAATCAAAAATAAATCCTTGGCCGGCACAGGTGCACTAGAAACCACCAAAACCAGTGAGTTTATTCAAGTCATTGAAGGTGACATGGGGAAGATTTTTCAGGAAAAGGAAAAAGATAATGCAACGGCTTATGCCCATTGCATCTCTGCAGACTTTGGAGAATGCAAACATATGAGTCAAGGTGTTGCAACAGTGTTCGCAGAGCACCCTGGAAAGCCTACCACCGCTGACCTCATCACAACTCACCTAACCTGCCAAGAGACGGACGGTACTTTTGTCTACGGACTGGTTACAAAACAAAAATATTACAATAAACCAGAAATAGATGACTACAACACTGCTTTTGAAGATATGACCACAGACTTTGAAAGAAAAAAGTTAAAGTATCTTATTTGCTCGCCAATGGGATGCGTCCGGGACAGAATTCAAATCCAACACTTTGTGACAAAACTAGTTCAATTCCAACAATCTACAGGAGCAAAAATACAGGTTATAACACAAAATGAAGAAACAAACAGAAGACTAAGAAGAGGCATTTCACATCAAACCTTTATTGTCCGGCTGAAGAACACTATCAACCTGATGACAGCTCACGAACAACCCCGAACCACTGATTCACCACTTCCACAGACTGATCCTCAGATCAAAACATCACATGTCGAGACCTCCACAGAATCCATAGGCAGTGCTGATTCAACAATCAACAGTAATTATCCTAGCCCCAGTGACAACTCAAAAAATCTGTCTGTTCACTTAACATTAATGGGGACTTGAATGAAATTGTGTTGTCAAAAAATCTAAGTAATTGTATAATGCACTACAACATTCAAGGAATTAAGCAAAAATTTGAAGAGATAAATATTTTATTAGAAAGCACAAAAAATGTTAAAATAATTTGCTTTAATGAACATAATATAAAAGAATCAAATAAACTGTTGTTAAATAGAATACACAATTTCAGTTTGAGGGATGGATTTTTCAGGAATTACTCTAGAGGTGGATCTTGTATACTAGTCCATGATTCCCTTTCTACCATTTCACGACAAGATCTAAGTAAAACTTTCAATGAGGAGTTTATCTTTGAAGGGTCATTTGTAGAAATTGAAGATCTTAATTTGTTAATTGTATCAGTCTATAGAATACCAGGAAATTGCATTAGTAACTTGTTTCTTAAAAAATTTAAAAGCTTCCTAACTGTTTTGAAAATTGAGGCAAAAAAGAAACAAATTGTTATAGCAGCTGATTTTAATATTAACCTTTTAGAAAAGAATAGTAATTTAGTAGAAGAATTTAAAAATATAATTAGTAGTCATGGTTTCTTGATAAACATCAAAGAGCCAACAAGAATAACAAAAACAACAAAAACCTGCATTGATAACTTTCTAACTTCTATAAATTATGGTAAAGCTCCTTTTGAGAATCTTGATTTATCTATGTCTGACCACAATGCTCTATTCCTTCAGTTACCTATTAGTAGTAAATTTAAATTAAAATCAACAAACTCTGTAAAATCCTATCGAAGACGTTTTCCTGAAGGATCCATCGCCCCATTTATTAATAGCTTGAGATGTAATTTGATGTCTTTATCTTTAGATGGTTCAGTGGATGACAATTACAAAAATTTTTTGGCTAAGATTAAATTAAGTATGGATGAAATCTTTCCAGTTAAACCTTTTAAAGCAAAAAATAAAAGTAAATCAAAAACTTGGGTTACTTTAGGGATAACAGTGTCATCAATAAACAAAAGAAAATTACATTATGAAGCAAAATTTAGTAATGATCCTAATTTTCTAAGCTATGTAAAAAATTACAAAAAGATATTTCAAAAGATTGTTAAAAAAGCTAAGAAATCTGCAAATGATAGGTATATAATGCAAGCAAAAAATAAGTCCAAAGCCATGTGGAATGTTGTAAAGGAAGAATTAGGTGTAGGTGTTAAAAGTGAAATTGTTAAGCCTCACATTAAACTTAAGGTCAACAATGAAATTATTGATGATGCTGTAGTCGTGGCGGAACTGTTTAATTATCAGTACTCCAACATTGTCAATATACTTAAGCTGCCAAACATGCCACACAGTGCTAATATCAATCCGTATGCTAACAATCCTACAGTTCAGGTGACAAAATTAGGTAATCTTTGTCAAACAAATGAAATTGAAGTAAAAAAAACTATTCTAAGTTTAAAGAACAGTAATGCCTGTGGCTGGGACGATATACCCATTAAATTATTGAAATGGTCAGCAAATGAAATATCAAACATCTTGGCTACACTAATTAATCAATCTTTTGCAGAAGGTGTTTTTCCCCAACTACTAAAACTCTCAGAAATAGTACCCATTCACAAAAAAGGTTGTTTAAATGAAGTACAGAACTACAGACCGATCTCTTTATTAAGTAATGTTTCAAAGGTTTATGAAAAAATTCTTCACACTAGATTATCTAGCTTTTTGGAAAATAACTACAAGTTTTGCAAGGAACAATTTGGTTTCCGTAAAAATCTAAATACCCAATCAGCTTTAAACAACTTTGTAAATTGCGCTTTGAAGGCCTTGGATGAGTCGCAGTGCACAGCTGGTGTGTTCTGCGACTTATCCAAGGCTTTTGATTGTGTTAATCACAAAATTCTTATCAAAAAACTTACAGCAATTGGTTTTCATGGACAAATAATTGAACTTTTGAAGTCTTACTTAAGCGATAGAAAACAAAGAACAGTAATTAAAACCGCCTCTGGGAACAAATACTCTTCTTGGGCTAATAATAACTATGGAGTTCCGCAAGGTTCAATCCTAGGTCCTCTCTTATTCCTCACATATATTAATGATTTACCTTTTCATTTTTCAAGTCAAATCTGTAACTTTACCCTTTATGCAGATGATACAACAGCTCTCATCAAACGAAGTACTGTTAAAATGTTACATGATGATGTCAAAGAAACAATTGGAGAAATAGCAAATTGGTTTTTAAAAAATGGCTTACTTTTGAATGAAGATAAAACTAGTGTTTTAATTTTCAAATTGAGAAATTCAACCACTGGAACAGAAACTACTGCCTCGCCCACAAATGTAGTAAAGTTTTTAGGGATATATTTGGATAGTAAACTACAATGGACAGAACATATTAATTTTCTAAACAAAAAACTCAGTCCAACAAGATATGCTTTAAGTGTTTTAATTCAGGTTACCTCCTTGGAAGTATGTAAAAATGTTTATTATGCTTATGTGTACTCTATTTTAAGCTATGGTATTACATTATGGGGGACAGCCACAGATGTCCACAAAGTTTTTAAAAAACAAAAGTCAATAATCAGAACTCTTGCAAATTGCCCCAAAAAAACATCATGTAGACAATTGTTTCGAAATTTTAAAATTTTAACTCTAACTTCAATATACATTTTTGAAATTTTAAAAATGGTTCATGGAAATCCTGGTATGTTTCAAAATTATCTTAGTAATCACTCATATAATACCCGAAGACAAGATATTTTTCAATACCCCACTCATAATTTAAAAAAATATGAAACAAGTCCTCTCTATATGGGGTTAAAAATTTACAATAAAATTCCAAACTCCTTAAAGCAATTAAACTTAGCAAAATTTACAGACAAAATCAAAACAGTTTTAGTAGAAAAAGCATATTACACTCTTGAGGAATTTTTCAACGACTCCTGGTAACAGACACCCAATCTCTCATCAACCTCTCCTAACATAAACAGTTCCACCATGCTGTAGCTTTGTAGGGGTAACTTACTGGCTAAATCCTAGGTTTTGTGTATACCTATTTAGATTTCCTTATTTATTAGAAACCTTGACAATGTACCTGTCTGTGTATTACATTTGTAATAACTTTAACAGATGTTATGTGCAATAAAGAATTGTCATTTGTCATTTGTCATTTGTCATTTCGACACTGACCGTAGGCTTTGCCCCTTTGGCTTTAAAAGTTCTGAGGTGAATATTTTAAAAGTAAATATTGATTGGTCTCCATGGCTGCGATGAGAACACTAACAATGTTTGTTTACATTTGCTTTGACATTTAAATGTAAACAAGAAGAACTGCTAAACTGCATATTTCACCATTTCAGACAGCTGATACAAAGAAATTAAATATAATACTCAGTAGGGCATAACTATGAGATAGGTTTATTTTAATCTAACCGTTTATCATGGATTATTTAATCTAAAACTATTCAAATTCAAATTCAAATTTATTTATTTGTGATAATACAAAATCTGGCCTCGCCAAGTTTGCAAAACTTGTCGGCGAGGTCCAATTGATTCACAAAAATGTAACAAACAAAATTTACATTTTTTTTTCTTTTTCTTTTTACAAATATAAATATTCTAGCGCTACTAATTCCATGGCGGTTTGTGGCAGGCACCTATCTAAGCTACATAATAATGGCAGCAGAAATGTAAAATTCTAATATGGTTTGAAAAAAATTGCTGATTTATAATCAATGCTTCATTCCGAAGTCTTTGTTCTCCTGGTTCATAGACCAGGGGTTTCTAAATATTGAAGAGGCAGTGTCTAACTGGAGAAAAAAAAAGTGAAAATGTCAATGATTATAAAAAAAAATTCTATAATCGTTGCTGTATCAACTCTGGCTCTGCTTTGGATTTTTTAAAGCGTCTAAGTTATGAAAATAATGTTATTGATATGTTTTAATGGAAACAGTATGAAAATAACAATGTAGAGATGTTTTGAATGAATTTGGAGGCTACTTTAAATCAATTCTAACTGCTTAACATGTGTTGTATTAACTTAACATAACTTGCAAATCACATTGTTTTATATATATATATATATATATTTATTTAGGTAAATTAAGTTATTGTGTTTTGCTTAACCTATGCATAAATTAAACTAATGAATATCATCAATAACTAAATTGTACTGATTATAGTTTTCTAAAATCTGTTGTATATGTATAACTATATTTAATTATCAAATGGTAATACAACATACTCTTTACTTTATATGATACATTTATTATTAGTGTTTTGCCACAACACTGATTAAATTAAACCAAGTAAAATATCATAACTAAGCAGTACACAGTGTTCTTTTGTTTCTAAAATCAATGAAATATCTGTTACTATGCTTACTTGATGGTAAGTGTGAAAATGTAAAGGCAATGGACGATGGAACTGATGAACTGGTTTGTATATTAAGTTGGTTTTTGATATTTTGTAGAGTAGAATCAGAGATGCAATGAAACATATACTGTATTTGCTATTACATTTTTTAGTCCTTGATGCTTTGATAATCATATTAATTTGTCTGCTGTCTTTAACGCTAAATTATTTGTTTAAAATTTGTTATAGTACCTATAGATATAGTTTCTTTAATATTTCAAACGACTGTATTGATAAGACACAGCAATATTTCTAAAGTTTATAACAGCTGACTTAGTTTAGCTAATGATTTATTGTGAGTGAAGAAATTGAAGATGGAAGGATTTGTGATTTAATATAAAGAAGAGTGAAATTAAAACAAATGTTCATTTAAATTTAATAATTAGAATTTTTGCAACTTCAAAATTGAAATTTAAAACATCAATAATAATTTAAAAGATATGTAATTAAGGGAGATGAAGGTAAGTCATGTATGTCAAAGTTTTATTGAAGATTTGGTCTGTTTTTCTCAAATCAGCCTACACAAGATTTAAAATTAATCTAAACCAAAATGATGGTATCCACTACTTACCAGATTTAAAAGTCATAACTTTAATGTTTCTATTAAGGCCATCAAAGTTGAATTTTGTTTCTAAAAGCGTTGGCGGATGTGTAACTATTATATGCAACAGATTTAAAGATTAAAATGTTTCTATTCTGTGTCCTCTTCCCGTTGCAAAGCACGGGTACAACAGCTAGTTAAGAAATAAAGTCGTTAAGGCAGTAAAACATAATTTTTAACAAAAAATCACACACAGTAATATTTCATATTTCTTTTGTAAAATAGCTACAGATGTTGTTTACCATTTTACCTCAAATGCGGTAAATCTTACTAATATTATAAATGTGAAAGTTTGTGTGTTTGTTTGTTTGAAGTTCAATCACGCATTAACTACTGGACAGATTGGGCTGAAATTTGGCATGATGATGATAGCTCACATTCCCGATTAACATATAGGCATATTCTTATCTCAAAAACTCTTTCGGGCTCTGCCCCAGTGGCTCTGTAGTTCCCTATGTTAACCTTATGAGTATTCATATTTAAAGGGAATTAAAGAATTTAACAGCTGTTGGTTCTTAAAACTTTGGTTCTATGATATGCAAAAGCATTAAAAAGTTATAAGATTTACCAACAGGGTGCAGCACTATATTTTTTGCATCAAGCAGCAACAAAAAAATGTGATACACAATGAAAACTGTCAAAGTAGGATTGTTTACAGTTGTTTTTTTTTATTTCATGAATAATTTGTGATATTTTGCGAATTTTTGATAATTAATTTTTCTCTATTGTTTAGGTGAAGTGGTAGATCATTATGGCTATGGTATGTGACTATAGAATACTGTAAATTTAAAGAAGCAAATTTTATGAAACTGTATCCTCCCTCAATCCAAACGCAAAGCTTGAGTATAACTGCAATAAGCATTTTATACTTATATCCCAACCCCGTACGAAGGACGGGTACTCTGCTAGTACAGTAGAACCTCTTTAATCCGAACTAATTGGGACCGGGGATAGTTCGGACTATTGAATAGTGTGGATTACAGAACATATTGTTGTTTTTACATAACAATTGCTAGGGAAAAGTGAAAAATGTTTTATAAAGTAAAAGCCTTTACAGTCTTTATTTAATACAGTAGTAAACATAGGGAATAAACATTACTGTACATTACAATAGAAACAATTATGGTGCATATACCAATAAATACAGTATCCAATGAATAACTACTGTTCTGGGTATAGAGTACAGCAATGAGGCGTTTGGATTAGTGGACGTTCGGATTACAGGGGTTCGGATTAAAGAGGTTCTACTGTATTGTATATTTTTATAAACCAATTTTATTTTGACAATTAACATTTTCTTAATTAATACGTTACCATGTAGCCCAATTTTGGCCTGAGGCTTGTAGGTTAACAATAGACACAAACCAAAGTAAAAATTCTGGATTGCAGATACCTAGTATTAAAATTGCTCTGATCTGGCTTAGATAAATTAAGTGCTATCTGTAGTTTATGTTTGACAAAACAACTTACGGAGGTATACAGACTAATAATTAAAAAACATATTTAATACAAGTAAGTTTTCCATACTCCGTTAAACAAATTTAGGCCGTTTTAGGGAAAGAAATCAATTTCCTCCACTTGATCCTACCTTCAAAACAATAGCTTTACAGCTGAGGTATGTCAAAACGTCAATCAATCAGCTACAACATATACATTAAGCATAAAAAGTAGTAGGGGAACTTTCCCAAAAACGCCTAAATTTCATGAACAGACAATAGTAAATCTTTTCAAAACTACCTCTGTAAAAAAAAAAAAAAAACAAACAAAAGGCAAAACACTTACCTCTATTCTTATTAGCTCTAGCTTCTTCCTCTAACTCTTCATCTGAGATTTCTTCAAAGCCTAAATTGTCAATATTTTCTTCTTCACTAGGGCGATCTTCTAATAACCTAGAAAACGAAATACATTGTGATGCAATGGGTGTGACGATAATAAGTATACAATAATTTTTTTTCCAAACATGTTGTATTCCTAGAACTTTTGTTTTATAGAATGAAACAGATAGACTTATCAAGTAAACCTTTTTTAGTTAAGGAAACAAAAAGCGCTTACCTTTGATCTAATTCATGAGCAGCTGCTACAGAAGTTGCAGAGCGAACATCTTCCTCCAAAAGTCCTTCTTCAGGTGCTAGGACATCCTGAAAACATAGTTACATTTTTTAATCCATTGCTAATCTTACACAAATCAATTTACTGCATCCATTCCTTTCCCAGTCACTACTTTTTCCAAATTATGTTAAAAAAAAACTATATTGTAACTTTATCTAATTTAGCTCTGGACTTTTAAAAGTCGAGAGCAAGTGAGTATTGGATTTTGAAAGACAAATTACCAAATTGTAACTACTAATCTGCAAAGAATAGCCTGGATAATTTTTTTTGATTATAATTATAATATCCATCTTTTCAAAGCTTATCCAATGTCTGAAAGTATTTATTTCTTGTAGTAGCCTCTTACTTTTGGGTCTTTTCTTATCCCCACAACCTTAAATGTCTGCCACTAAGACTTTCTCTCCCTATGCATAAGCCTTTATAGAGAAAGTAGTATAACTGATCCGGTTCGGTAAAGTGTGCTGAAATCTGGAAATCTGCTATGATAGTTGATGTGACATAACAAACTCTAGTCTACAGTTAAGGCCCGGTTCACACGAATGACAAACCTAGCAGAGGCTTGGACTAGGTAAGCAATAAGTAAGCACGACTGGGTAGCGGACCAAAGGATCAAATGGAGCCGTTCACACGAGCCTAGGACGCCGACTAGCTAGTCGTGTTCGAGCTTGATGTTCCAAAACCTAGTCGGGCCCCGCTTCCCAGTCCGTCGTTGCAACTACCCAGTCGCCCAGTCGAACTGCATAGCAGTACATGTAGCCTTATGGGAGCGTTCACATGAGCGATCGGGTAGTCGAGCTGCAGCTCGCATTCTTACCTTTGGTCTCATTGTGCATCAGTGATGGAACCGAGTGGTTTTGATATCGATATTTTCACCTAGTCCGTGGACATGTCGCTCGTGTGAGCCGGTGTGATCCTGTGGTCCGCTACCCAGTCGTGCTTACCTAGTCCAAGCCTAGTCTGCTAGGTATGTCGTTCGTGTGAACTGGGCCTTACAAGTTGATCTTTTAGTATGGCTTGGTTAAAAAGTTTATGTACAACAAAAGTCACTGATCGACATCAGCACTCTGTTGGATGAATTAAACTACATTTCATTCTAAAAGCTACAAATTTTAACAAGCAAATGGTAGTAAAAGCAGGTGGTATGTCTAGTTCTACTAATGAGGTAATACTATCAAGGTCAGCTGACTCACCAAGTCTTCACGGTTGAGTATCTCGTCAGGATCATCACTGATGTCACTGAGAGCTTCCTCCAATGGGGCGGAGATCAGTGGTTCCTCTAGACGGGGCTTCTTAGCATCAGGCGGGGCTTCTCCCTCTTCACGCTCTCTGCCCCGCTTGACCCCCACCCCTTCTCCACCTGCACCCGACAATAACCAATCAGTATTAGGGCCTACAGATGGCTCTAATCAAACACTATTTTTATTAAGTGTTCCTTTACAACCAAACAGTAGCGTAAATATTGGGTGAAAACCAACCTGTGTCTATAATTTCCTTCTTGAAATCCCCACCAGCAAGAGGATCTTTCTCGGAGGGATTCTGCGCTTGAGGACGGCGGCTACTGTTAAACAAAAACAAGATCAAAACATAACCAATTAATATTACTAAAAAATAAGGACGTAATAAAAAAATTAAATATATACTGGTACCTTTTAGCTGTTTATTTTGTTGAAATACTATTGGACTAAAGAAAATAAAAAAGCAGTAGACATTTTCTTTAAACTTACAAATTAACAAATTTGACCAGTCTGTAAATAAACCAAGAACAAGAAATTAATAAATAGAGCTTTTAACGATTTACCAAAAACATTAGTTTTATAAAAAAAAACACTTGATCTAATTTAGCTGTAACGTAACACAGTCAGAAGACACATTGCCAGCTTAACAACTACAAGACTAGTCCTTAATCACTAGTAAATACAGCTGAGCTAAATACAAGTTGATATGGTTAAAACGTTGTTGTTGTGTATAAGACTGATAATAGGTACCTTTGTCCGTCTTTAGTCATAAACAGTAGTCTGGGGATGCAATTGTGCCCTAACCTCCAGACAACTGTTTATAAGACTGAGGACAATCAAAGATATGTAGCCTATTATTATATATTCATCACCTGGTGTTTGATGTTTCAAGGTAAATCACTCCAGCTATCAAAGCTCTCCTTAAAACACTTTTACCAAAACCCCGGTCTGACAGAGCAACGGGAATTTTCACAAACGCATGTTGGCAACACTGTTTACTTGGGGGATTACATTCCCCCAATACCTTCCCCTATTTTAAAGCAGGGTCTCACAAGCCCAGGGTTTCGGTATTAGTGTTGACATGATACTGAGTCCAGCATATTCTGTCACTCACCCGGGCTCCTCTACATTGGCGTCTCTCACTACGATGTGATTGCTGGACACCACAGTCTGGTCCTCCCGTTGGTTGTGTCGTGGCCGGGCAGGCCACTCCTCCCTCCACTCTCCTCCGGCCCACTCACCTCCGCCGTAGCGAACCCAGTCTTCACCCTCAACTCCAGTCTCCCATTCTCCGTGTCTGTAAAAATTCCATGTATCTACACTCTACAGGTATAATACATTAAAACCATTTTGGAATTTAATGTACAACTCAGGTGTTCTGACTATACCCTTTTTGAAAGAATTTGCAGCTTTTCAAATTGTGGATCACTCTGTAATATTTCAGTTTTAGGTCTATTTACTTAAAATGTAATTTTGTTTTAGATTTCAATGTGCACGCTGAAACATACTTTTAAATTTGACATTTGATCTGCAAGATAAATGTTTGCTTTTCCAATACACTGTATGTCTTTGGAAATTGAGTGACGTGAATGATCGGCTGCGATTACTTTCATCAGTAGGGTATAATGCATCATAATTTATCACCTGGTAAATTTAGAAATGCCATAAAAGGAAATATACATAAACTATATTTATAAATAATCTTAGTGCGGTTAGAATAAAAACGTTCAACATATGACAATACAACTCTTACCTGTTTCTGGTGTCCCAGTCCCGTCGGGATTCTGGATAATCCCAGTCCCGGGACTTTCCAGGTCCTGGATCCTCATAGCCTCCTCGGGATTCCCATCCTCCTCCTCTCTGTCCTCCCCTGAGATACAGGAACATATTATGTTTAAATAATAATAATAATAGTATTATTACTGTGATTTATTTTATTCTTATTTTTCTCCACATTACCAAACCCTTTATCACCCTTTATGCTAATGGCACTATGTGCTAAATTACTGAAACAATTACTACCGGTACCAGGGAACTAATCATACAGAAGGTTTAAAATTAATTGAAAAAAATCAAAACATGTTGACAAGTTTTCAATGGCGGTTAGTTTCTACTATTTACTTATATCAAACTTTTAAGTAGGACTGTATTCATTATGTAATAATCTTGTTTACATAGTCAAGTCTTACAAACCTTCTCCTCTCTTCACCAAATCCTTGGTTATGCCTCAATCCACGCGTATCTTCTCGTGTTGATGGACTTAAATCCTTGAACATTCCTGCTCTCTCGGAACCATCTTGGGCATACCTCTGACGATCTGAAGACAAAACTTTTGAAACTTAAAATTGGATTTACTTACATACAGTTTAAGAAATTTCCATTAGCATAATGAGATTATGACTAAAATATTTCCTTTAACATGTAAGATTTGTTTCCTAGGCCTATTCAAATAGTCTAAGGTTTAACGAGTACCTAGGTTTTCTGCTACAGGGAAGGTGGACAAATTTATTCATAGTTAAATAAATTAGCCCTACTGGGTTAATAAGAAAAAAAATATTTGACAAATTTAATCCAATTTTTTTTAACAAGCAAACTACAACAGTTTACGAATAAAATGGGAAATTAAAATATACTTTCAAATCAGTTTAAAATAAAATTGTGAAACTTCATTTAAGTTATATTAATGAGTAAAAAAGAGAGAACCCAATTTCCACCTCATAATCCTCCTTCCTCTAAAACCCTGTTACTATAATTCAAACATTCTACTTCTCAAACTCGTTGAAATAAACCCAGATTTACATGTATTAACCAAATTTCATCGAGATTGGATCATGTTTACATGGGTTATCAAGCTTAGGTACACACGCAGACATCCTACCCTGTATCAAATTTTACAAATTACTACAAATTACACATCTATAGGTGGTTTTTTCTTACCTCTGCGAGTGTCGTAAGGACTCTCATATCCCTTATCCTCGGCTGCCAGGCCTCGTCTGTCAAATCGCCCCTCTCTCTCAAACCGTTCTCTACCTCTCTCCACATTTCGTTCTCCGTCACCTGGCCTTCCTCGTTCCAGGCTGTTCCTCTCCCTTATATCCATGACTCTGTCCAGAGCCCTATCTCTAGGCATTCCTCGATCTTTCTCCAAAGACGTTCTATCAGCTTTCTCAAAGCTTCGTCTATTATCTCCACCAGCTCTTTCGTAGTTTCTTTCTTTGTCTCTTTCAAAATCCCTGTCTCTATTTCTATCAAGGTTTTTGGTGGGTCTATCCTTTTCTCTGTCAAAACCTCTTTCACTTGGTTCATTGGCACCTCTGTCAAAATTTCTGTCTCTCTCAAAACTTCTGTCCCGATCAGCTTTATCTCTTACTCTTTCATTTATAATTTCTCTTTCTCGAGGCCTATCTTTATCTCTTTCACGGTCGGATAGTTTATCCACCAACCTTTCTTTTTCTAACGGTCTGCCTCTTTCGGGTTTTTCAAGTCCCCTATCGTAGATTCTATCTCGTTCCCTATCTCTTTCTTTCTCTTTATCTTTATCTCTATCTTTCCTATCTTTATTCCCTCTTTCTCGATCTCTGTCCGTCAATTTGCGTTCAGGTTGGTGGGTTGAGAGGGACATCAGTGGAGGAACTGGCCTGTCGTAATCTCGTTTCTTGGGATCTCTTTCCTTTTCATCCTTTGTCTTTGTTCGTTCTTTTTCTTTTGCAAGCAGTTCTCTTTCTCTCTGCCTCTCTCTACATCTCTCTAGAGCTTCTTCCCTTTCCTTTTCTCGAGCTGCTTCTCTGGCTTTCTCCCTTGCACGAATATCATCATGGTCTCCTGAAAAAAGGTCCACAAGATTAAGATTTGAGGCTGCTACATAATCACAGTTGATCCCTGAACAGCATTGCATGTTAAAAATAAAACAGGCAAGAAGTAAATTGTCAATGCTGTTGGATAAAACTTGATGTTAGCAAATATTTTAAATCTTCAACGGAAGCCAAGAATCACGTTCACACACATTTTCCTCATGAAAAAAATAATGTATCTAGTCATGTTCTTGCATTTAAAAATAATAAAGTTTTGGTTGTTGTTCAATAAAACATTAGCTCCATCTTAAATACTAACTTAATAATTGTACGAAAATAGTCAAGTTACAAATATGATCTTGGCTTACTCTTATCTCGATCAGGAATTGCCTTCCTATCTTGACGACGATCATCCTTATTTCTGGACCGATCATCATCTTTTTTTCTATCATCCAGCCTGAAATAAAGATAATAATTTAACTGATTATTTAGCGATTCTGTTAAAATACATGTCTTATCAGATGAATTTCAAACTCTGCCAAATAAATATATACACAAGTGTACGTTATGTTTTTAGATCACATAATGCAGCAGTTTTGTTTAAGAACATGGGAAAATACATCACTATCCTCCTTGAAACAAGAAAATAGGTTTAAAGTTGCTTACAACAACTTTTCACTTCTAAAAAAATGACTCTAAAGGGATTCTTTCTGTCTGACCAAAAAACACAAAAGTTAAGTTATATATCTATTTGAATTAGTTTTAAACCACTCTTTTGTGCAAATCAACACTAGAGACACCACATTGCAATTTTAATATTATTATTATTAAATTTTTTTTTAACTACCTATTAATTTTAATGGTAGGTAACCAAAGACCTATAAGAATGTACTGTTTCTCCACTAAGCAGATTTTAATGCTGATATTTTAAAACAATTTATTAGTTAGTGCAAATATTTCCTTTTTAAGTATTAAGCTGACAGGCTGGTATGGTGTGACCCAATAGATAGCAAAAATTCCTCTTTAGTAACCAGTCTGGAAACTAATATGACTGAATGCAAATTTTTTTTAATACTTAAAAAATTTTGAGATTCTTACATAAACGGACAAAATTGAAAGAACCTTGTTTTTGGATGTGAGGGACCTCAAAACAAAATAATGGTCCTGCACCTCGGTCTAACTGACCTGGAGTGGCTGGCATTGCGGACTCTGTCTGCTGGAGAGTCTTTACGTCTCCTGGCAGGGTCCTGGCGTGGGGGTCGAGGTGAACGCTCCTTGGCGCCAGGTTTGGCTCTACGAGGTGACTGACTGCGCCGGTGTTTGTCCTTGCGCTCAACTGAGGTGCTGCGTTTGCTGGGTGGCCGAGGCGACTGGTTATGTCTTGATGCTCCTGATAAAAGCGGAGGGTGGATTGGTGTAGAATTAGAAGTTTAAAAGGGGGGTTTGTAGTCTTATGAGTGCCACCAATTGGTTTTCCTTGGAGGATTAGCTGACACTAGTTTGGCAGTTCTTTAAATATCTAAACCAATTTGGATTTAGCTACGCACTCCCTGTACCCCAATCACAGCTAACCTGCACACCTTTATAGTCAAAATGAGTAGTTAAGTTTTTAAGATAGCAAAATACTGAATTTGAAATTTTTAAGTTGGGTAGGTGTATTTGATTTAAGTTTGGTATGTTGATAAATTTTTCTGGTTAACATTTTTCACTAGGCAAAGGGTTATTTTACGTTGTCATCATCATAACTCCAGAGACCAATAACATTCTGTAAACCAGCATATCGTAAGCATCCTATTTTTATGAATGTAAAAATAGTGAGAAAGCTACCTTAAGTAGATTTTCTGTGAGCAAAAAACTCAATTGTTATCTCTGTGGTGATCAAGAGCTAGGTGTAGAAGTTAAAGTTTTCAAGCTATTGGTATTCAATCCAAAGATGTAGCATTATTGTGAGTAACATGACTTAAAGTTGATTTTCTACACAAGAATCAACTCACCAGAAGTTTTGGAGGTGGATGGTTTGTTTTTCCCCGGAGGTGGAGAGTTATGTCTCCGATGTGAGGGAGAGAGGGATTTCTTGCGAGCCATTTTTGAACTGGGAGCTGACTTTCTTGGTGGGGTGAAAGCCCTTTTGTCCCTACTACTGTTGGACTTCTTACTTATGTTTGAGGGGCTCCTGTCTTTATGCATTGATTTGTCTCTGTGGAAAAGACAAAGAAAATTGAAAAACAAGACAATTAAAACTAACTTAAAGTTGATTTAAATGAATAATTCACACTGTTCAGATGTCTTAGACATATTAAAAACTATTTTTGCTGATCAATTTGTGTAGTAGCTAACATAGCATAAGACAGGGGTAAAATGGATATGTTAACTTTTACCACATACCTAATTTTCTTCCGTTCGCTATCAGACAACGAGGATGTAGAAGCTCGCTTTGTCTTCTTGGCTTTGCCACGTCTCCGCTTGGCGTCCGCTACACCACTGGTCGAGCTAGAGTCTGAAGAGCTATCGTCACTACTAGAGCTAGAATCTGACGTGGTCGAGCTCACTGAGGTTGACGAGGAACTGCTTAGTGTCTGCAAGGGAAATCAACACTTGACCATGAATAAAAACATAAAATATGTAAAAAAGTATGTAAACATTTGCAAAGTTTTACTTAAATTAGAGTGTAGATGTACTTAATCCTGTGGTTTTCATGCGAATCGCTATGGACCCGAGAGATAATTCACACCCCCTCCATTCTTCACTGCTGGGGAATTTAGAATGGTTCATAGGCTATATTACTACCAACAAAATAAACTTACAGAAGGCCTTCTCTCAACCGGCCTGATTAATCCTCGCTCCGATTAACTGCCATACTCAGGCATAAATAGAGGTTTGTTTATAATCCTAAATTGATGACTGTTATGTTCAACACTGGAGGAATAATAGAGAATTGAGAGATGTGTATCACCATCCAGATGTAGTAGCAAGGATAAAAAACAGGAGATTGAGATGAGCTGGACATGTGTGGAGGAGAGAGAACTCATCATTAATTAAAGCTGTGGACCAGAACAAACCAGAAGGCAGAAGACCACTCGGCAGACCGAGACTGCGATGGAGGTGCTGAAGGATGTGGCTGTATTAGGCACTACTCCTGAGGCAGCGGAGGATAGAGAAGAGTGGCGAGGCCAAAAACCTTCTGAGGTTTCAATGGCCAAGGTGGTAAGGTAAGGTATGTTCAACCCTTAGTGGCAAAATTAAGGTAGAAAATGAATCTTAGATTGTAACACCTCCCCTGCTAGTAGATCATTAAACTATTATCTTTGTAAATAATAAACCGGCTTTAGCCGGTCCATGTAGTTGAGAGTCTAGCCTACTCTAGTACCGTATCTATAAAAAGTCAATGTTACTAAAGTGGTGTTGTACCTTTTTCTGAGAGCTAGTGTTTGATCTGTGTCTGTGATGCTCGTCCGTCTCCTCCCGCCTCATCTGAAGTTCCAATTCCCGCTGCAGAAGTTGTCTGCGTTTCTCCAGGACCTGACAAACAACACATGCTAGAAAACAAGTGGGGCTCATGCCGTCTCGAGATAGATACACAGATTGTAGCTTTGTAGGGATAAATAAGCATGCCTTTAACATTTATTTTTTAATTTGGTTTTAAGTGCTTCACATGAACTTTTGATGAGAGCATTTTTCAACCCTTGGAAAAAGATACTCCAGTAGAAAATTCCAATTTGACTTAATTTAGGACTACTACAAAATCACAGCAGAATTATATCAAGAGATCTAAAAATAAAAATTAGTCACAAGTGGAACAGTTCTAACATTACTTTTGGCCAAATAGTATTGAATTGTCATTTGTGAACAAGCAAAAAAACTGAAAAAAATCACATTTGAGAAAAACACATTTCTTCCCATGATCAGATCATGCTTATTTCAAATTTCTAAGAAACTGTGCGATTCTTGCTCAAGTATTGTGCTTATGTTGACACTTAACAAATGCATGTTATTAAGCATGTACGGTAGGGCTCTAGCTAAGTTATTGTGTTTACATGTTCACATACAGTTGAATGCATGTTATTAAACAATGCCTCAACAAAAAGAAGCAAGTTAAAATAAACATATTTATGTTTTGTCCAAGACTTGTATTTGTTAAGATTACCTTTTCGTCTTCGTATTCCAAAGAATTTTGGTCCCAAGAATCCCAGTTGACTTCAGGGCTCCCGCGCTTCACTACGGTAGAGTGAAGACGCTTCAACCCTTCTAACTGCAAATCATCAAAATGATAAGCACCAGTTCAATGTTGTCAACACAATGGATTGATATTAATAAGTCTACACTATAAACATTATATTTACAGTCATGAAAGGTAACATGTTTTGAACTGCACTCATTGGCGGGTGCTGGCAAGCCATTTCATTTAGTTGCAGTATGGTTAAGTTTGATAAAGACAATAAAACTCTGACCTCGATATCTACTTGAATTTGGCATTAACTAGAAACAATCCTAGAAAGATGACTCATGACCTTTAAATAAGTACAAAAGTAAAGTACTTTTGCTAGCTACAGAGTGGCCTATTATGTACCAAAAGTAAATACCATTAAGTTAACCATGTGTTTACATCATCTTTAAATCACAATGTAAACAGAAAGCTTAGGGTCTCACTACTCAACAAAATGATTAAGACCCGTGGTTCTGGATAACATAGGCCAGTTGGCTTACAACAAAACAATTAAGAATAGTAGGCTGTATATTCTGATTAGCCTATTCATGATAATTCAGTTCTCACCTGTTTTGGGTCTAAGTCTTTCTTCTGGGCTCGCTTTGAGGGACTGATTAGTGTATGAGTATTGGCAAAACTGAAAAATAACATTTACATAATACACAATTATTACAGTACAAAAATAACACTGTTTAAAACTAGAATAGCTTAGGAATTTGACTAAATTTCTTAAATTTTGTTGAAAGCTCTTTCATCAAATATTGTTAGAATGTTTAGGACTATTAATTTAAAAACTGTTTTGTTTAATTTTAAGGTATCATTTTGCTGAAATTGTAGAATATTTTGTACCCACAAAAATTATGGTTAAAATTAAGGAGGCCACTTTAGAATATAAAGAAATAAAGACATAAATTGAAATGAAATCTTGAAGTGCTTAAGTAAAATATGTCCTAGGCCAACTTACAGACAAGTTTTCCCATAGGGACAAGTGCCATTTTGGTTCCAATGCCTACAAAAGTTTTCAATTGTAGCTTGGTTCTGCCCCAACGGAGCTGTATTCACAGAGATGGGTGTGCTGGTTTTGGTGCCAAGGCGCTCAAAAACACTTTGCCGTCGCTGCGACTCTTTATTTGCTGATATGTTGCTATTGTTGAGTTTGCTTCCTGGACTTTCAACTGTGATCTTGCGTTTAGTCAATTTTGACATCTTGTGATTCCGCCAGCCCACTGAAAAATAATCAACTTATATTCAGTAATAGGCCTATCTGATTTAGTAGGCTTGAATAAAATATGAAGCGATACATTTGGTTACACATCTAGTAGCAAAAGATGCTGTAAGTATCTAAACGACGGCTATCTTGAAGGTTGTATAATCCTATATGGTTTCCTTTTTTAGCAAAGTAAGCTAACTTGTAACCACTCTATTCTACCTTTATTGTTCACAGTCCATAGCCCATGTAGCTTTATTAGAAATTGCAGCCTCAGCAAAGAAAAATAAGTGAAATTTACTTTAGACTAGTAATACCTTCATTGGTGGTTATCATTGTAGATTAGGCTATAGTAGACTATTTCTTATCCAGACACCTTTTAACCGGACTATTCTCAGCAGAAGTGGCATCTCTTTAACCGGAGAGTTTTTATCAACACATCGTTTTAACCTGGGATTGGATCGGCAGGAAGAGGGCAATACTGAAACAACTTGTGGGGAAGATTTGAGACCATTGATATTGTGTCAAAATACAATGCCCTCCCAAATTTAAGTAAAATATTTGTTTTACCGGTACCCTGTAATTTTTGAATGATTGTGCGGATATCGGTTTTACCAGAAAAACTGTTATCCAGACTGGCCTTAGTCCCATGAGTAAGATGGAGTCTACTGTAAGTTATTTGAAAATACATTTTCAGTGAAGTTGTTTTTATCGATAAAAAAGTACAGTTATAAAAGTACACTGCCATATTTTATCCATCAATGTTAGTTTTCAAGCAATAGGGGTACAGACTAGTTTAAATCCTATTTAAAAACAGTTTACAAAATCTAAGGTGAATCGTAACCAAAAGTATCCTACGCTACCTTTGTATTTTCCAATGTTTCTATACATCCTGAATCCAAATTAAAATTTATATACTGACAATTTTCTCAACATAGCCAACAAGTAACAGAGGACTATTCCACTAACACACTCCACAGTGGATCAATGGATTACTCTCTCAGCCATAACTAAGTAATGCAATCATGTTAAGTAACTAGAACCATAGTAATATTTTATGAGGCCCAGGATAATTTTCAAATGGTATGGTGAAGGCATAATTCAGTGAAGAGTGGAGACTAACGAGTGTTTATTTGCGTTTAGCAAGCAGGTGAAGTAGAGTTTTGTTAGCTGCCCTCCAATCACTAACTCTTTTCTATAAGTCTAGTTTAACTACAATTTGTATGCCAACTGTTGGAAGTATTTGAAAGATGTTTTGTTGAAAATATAATCCATGTTATACTGTCTTTTTGATCTGTTTCAGAATTGTTCTTTGCAGAGGGCCTTAGTGAATTGGTATTCCAAACAAAATATTAGTTTTTGGAATAGCTTGCTTTAAGTCTATTGTGAGTAAACAAATTCATATTCCTATCTAAGTATTTTAGATAGGAAATATAGTGTATTTCTACTCTATTGTCAAATGATCTTTAAATTAATTGCTATGTTTTAATTAACTGCTAGAGGTCGTCCACTGGTCCACCCAAGGACGATATGGTTTTTTTTTTGTCCTAGGACGCCAGTCACGAGCCTGGGATTGTTTTTCACGTTACTTCAGACTAGACCTAGGGGTTGCGGCATTATCACTTGGATAAAATCCATTGGTGACTTAGCGGGGATCGTACCCGGGGCCTCAAGGACTGAAGTCCTGCGCTCTGATTTTAAGTTGGTCTGAAGGATAAGTTAAAAACATTTCACAATGCCTTTACCGTCTGGTAACATTTGCATTATAAACACTTTTACCTATTTATTGATTAAAATCCATATTTTTTAGCCCCTAAGCAGATATTGGGACTAAATCATTAGGCCTAAATAAATAGAGTTACCTTCCTCAATCAGCTCGTAGTAGTGTAACAAATGTTATAGCATTTCAGCCTGCCATCATCAGATTCAGCCTTTATTTTTATTTTTTTTATTTATTTACAGAATGCCATTACATCATAAAATGACAGGACATTTGTCAATGCATTATAATACTTAAATCTAAATAGTAATAAATCCAAATAAAATAACTTCAACACTTAACCCTCCCAATTTCCACTTAAAAATTCATTTAAAGAATAAAATGTTTTTGTCAATAACCATTCTTTACATTTTTGTTTGAACTTTTTTGGATTTGCAATGTTTTTTAAATGATCAGGAATCAAGTTATACAATTTCGGTCCAATATATTGAGGTGATGCTTCAAATAGTGATAATCTATGGCTAGTGGGCTTAATTAGGTTCTTATGTCTAGTGTTATACCTATGGTTTGTGTGACCCTCCCTGAAAATGGACAAATTGTTGAATACCCAAAATAATGCTTCTAAAATATACAGGTCATAAAATGTCAAAACGCTAAAAGTCTGAAAGATGACTTTGCACGGACTTCTTCGGGGTACTTTAGCTATGATTCTAAGTGCCTTCTTTTGAAGCCTAAAAATCTTCTTACCATGGCAAGAATTTCCCCAGACAAGTATTCCGTATGACATTAATGATGAAAAATATGAATGATAAACTGTTAATTGAGTTTTAGTATCTGTAACTTGAGAAATTGTTTTGAGAGAAAATATTGCTGAAGAAAGTTTTTTCCGTAGTTTGTCAATGTGAGGAAGCCAGTCAAGATTTTCGTTTATATGAATACCCAAAAAATTGACTGTCTCCTCAGACATTAACTGATGATTTGTAAAAGTGGTCTGTTTTAAACTATTTCTATGGTGAACTTTATGGTGTCGTTAATCAATAAACACATAAACTGTCATACCCATGCCGGTACCAGTACATAAACGGGGTTTTTGAAAGAAACAGGCCTGTTCTACATACATATCCACACTCGAGCAAATAACTTAAGTTAGCTGAATTAAAAACCCCGTTTATGTATGTGTAGGCCTAATTTATGTCCCATGTAACAGTTTATGTTTTTGTGTATGAACAGCACCATAAAGGCTGAATGTCTGATGATAGCACAGAGATTCTGAATTGGCCGTAACATTTGTTACCTACACTACTAAGTAGGAGCTGATCGAAGAGGGTAACTCAAACTTATTTATTTAATGATTTATATTCAGCCTATGATTGTAATGAAATCTTTTTCCTCATTAAATCCTAGCCTTTTAAAATTATAAATAAATAAATAGGCCTAACACACAATAATTTTTAACAGCCCACAGTTACCCTTTTGATGCTAGCCTAAACTTAAGTAACTTAGACAATATTTTTTTGTAATTTTCCAAATATGCTAGAGGGTTATTTACTTATTTCGTCCGAAAAGTGCTATGCTTGCCACAGGGGCAAAGTCTAGTGTGCCAGAAAAAGATCATCGGTAAAAAATATAAAATTTTTCATCTCAAAAGTGCTACAAGGAACAACAAGTTATATCGGGCCTTCGATCATATGAGGAGTCAAAAGAAACCATCGCTGTTTCTAAACAACACAACCGAATAAAGGATATGCCCATTTAGACTCACTCGATTGAAAGTCAAGCCGGCACAATAAATCGTTGCTTAAGTTAGTACTTTTCAGATGAAACCCGAACAACGATATATCGTTGCACAGCACTGAAAGTGTTAAATCACAAGAAGGCTAAGTAGGCTAATATAAGTAAGCTACTTCATTAAGTTTACTTCCGAATCCCAAGCCCACCAAAAAAGGCCATTTAAAAGATTAAGGCCTACCTTACCTACTAGCCTAGTTTGTATGCTTAATTTTGTAAATCTTCTAAGGCTAACATTATACCAAAAAAAACTTATTGGGTACAGTTTCTTAACTGGGCTATGCTAATATTGATTGAGGCTGCACTTTACATTAGGTCCTACACAAACAACCGAATGAAAATATCGATTATTCGATTGTTTCATTCGATATATCTTTTGGTTAGTTAGGTTAGGTTAACCTTACCTAACTAACCAAACGATATATCGATCAATATTTTCATTCGAATGAGTGTAGGACCTAAAGTAAAGTGCAGTCTCAATGGCATTAAACGATATATCGAATGAAACAATCGAAAAATCGATATTTTCATTCGGTTGTTTGATTAGGACCTAAAGTAAAGTGCAGCCTTGATTGAAACTATCGAATTGAAAATATTGATTAAAAATCGATATTTTTAAATACATCTATTATAAAATAAAACTATCATAACCTAACCTAACCAACCAAACTTGCTGATGGTTAAAAAATCGCATGAAGGTTTACTAATGGAATCGATATTAATTAGCAGCATAGCCCAGTTAAGAAACTGTACCCGCTTATTGGACGAACTGTAGCCTGTAGTTAAGGTTTGTTTGACAGAAGAATCCGGTAGGCTAAGATAAATCAGTAGAGTGAGTAGACCTACTAGGCCTACCTCTAAGCTACCTCACAAATAGAAAATGAGTTTTAACATCTTAATTATTTTTAAACATATTGTAATGGATAATATTAACTTACCATGTTAAAAAGTAACCAATTGCTTCCACTTCCAACAAACAAAATAGTTTGTTCAGGGTTAACTATCATACACAAATGAAAACGAAAACATAAGAAAACAAACTAAATATAGGCCTAGTTTAATAGTTTTTAGGTTACTGACTGAACTGAAATGAATGAAGAGAAGAAGAAGACCGAAGAAGATCGAATGGAAGAAAAAGAAGAACATAATAACACAGTAGTTTTAAAAAATGCTCCCGTGACGTCAGCAAATGACAGGAATAGCACACCTATGTATTTTGCTTCCACCATGGCTGCCATACATGGCTGCCAACGGCAGCATGCTGTAACACCTCACAAATCGTGACATAACAGAGTGTGCTACCCATTGAGATAAATAATAGATTATAACTGGGGCCCATTTCATAATAAACTACAAGCTACAAGTTACAACTTGTAACTTGTAATTTCCATTAGATTTGCATTGGGCGATCAGCTGATTTACTAATAATATTAGTTTGTACTTTATTATGAAATGGGCCCCTGGAGTCACTACTCTCTGGTTGAACATTAGAGAAAACGTGCCACTGTTTTTGCTGGTTTGTTTTCAGTGTTTCGTGTTGTTAGGTTGGCCTTACAACATGGGTCACAGCCTGGGTCACTTCCTGGTCACAGTGACCTAGTGTGAAGGCGCCTAAGGAAGCAACGCACTGGGTGGCGTCATTACTTTTTCAGTACCCAGTGCGTTGCTCATTATGAACGTTACGTTGGTGGGGCCGTCTTTGCCCTTACCCACTTGCGTACCGTTCCGTACTCATAATGTTCTCGCCATACACTTCACTAATCTGTCAATGAATTTCAATGGCTCTCACACCTTTAGCACAATCAAATTACAGCACGCACTTCACAGTCTGGATTGGTGGCACCATTTGGAATGCTTGAATCCGGATGTAAACAGGGCCGATTGTTGCCGAATTTCCGGCACAGGCTTGCCAATAGATGCACATACACAGCGCAAATGTCCTAAATGCCATACGCAGCGCTGAAATGAAGAAATTTAAAAATGGCACTTACTTAAAAACATGCCTCATATTATGTTAATTACCTATTGGTCTGCTTAAATGTGACCCAATGGTACGATAAAATTATAAAATAACCAATTTTCATCAAATAGAGTTTGTTAGATGTCTAATCCAAGGTTTTAAAATGGCGTTTCTTACGTTTTCCAATAGGCAAAAGAAAATTATGATATTTGAGCGCATCCTTGCGACAGTTTGAAACATCGTAGAAATTTATGTAAATTGTAGGAGATTTAGTGTACTTAAATTTGGTATCAACAGTTATTACAAAAATTTACTCCGCTCGTGAGTTAAAACATAGACAAATTCTGTTTGTCTATGGTTATAAGCAAAAAAAGTAAAACAAGCGCAGTAATTTCTTTGTTTTAGCGAGTTTCCCATATAGGGAATAAGCTATTACTGTAGTACTCACTCGGTAAGACCATAGATAAAACATGGTAAGACCTAGACCCGGGACCGATTTCCTTTTTTGTTTTGAGGTCCATAGAGGGCAAAAACACCATCCGTTCAAATATATATTATATAATGTCCGTTAGCACGATCACTCGAGCGAAAACGATCCGATTTTGATGAAATTTGGTACAAACCTGTAAACCTACATTTATACGAACGAGTTCGCGAACCAGCATGATCTGACTATGGGAACGGGGGTTTATGGGGGGTTTTGTGGGGTAAAAATAGGTTTATCCTATTTTGACCCTAAAAACACAAAATTTCACAATTTCTTTCCAAACCATTTTGTAGAGCTAAAAAAAAAACAAACAAATAATGTAGTATATTGGAGTGCTATTATGCGCCTAATGGTTATGGCCTTATTCTTATGGACAATAAGTCAACTGTTGTAGTTTGTTTGTGTATGAACATATTTTGGACAAATTTGGAAAATACATTAATTTATTACTAAAATACGGTATTAACATTTTACAACAAAAAACACTTTTTTACCCTCCCTGTTGCAACAAACCTAAGTACACGTTAAACTAATTTTACTTAAATAGGGAATAAATGTGATATTTTTAAGGTGACATTTTAGTGTAAATCCAATCAGGCAAATGGAAACTCGCCAAGTCAACAGTCCTGCAGGTTTGCTGCGGCGGGGGTATTTTGCAATCTCTGCAGTTAGCTCACCTCTGGTGAGGTGGCAAAGTTTATAATCAGATTCAGCGTCAAAAAATACATATAAACCCACCGAGAAAAAAACTTGTGGAATTCTTTCCTGAAAACAGAGAAATCTTTTTAGCGAATTTCCCTATAGGGAAGTAGCTATTACCGTAGGTCTCATGGTAAGACTTAGGCCCGGGACCGATTTACTTTTTCATTTTGATGTCCCCAGAGGCCAAAAACACCACTCGTTCAAATTTTAAAAATGTAAATATATATATATATATATAAAATGTGTCCGTGAACACGATAACTTGAGTAATTTGACGGCCGCATTCCACAACAAATATATGCTTCACAGAGTTATGATGAACTCGCTGTGACGATAGCTCACTTTGCCGATTTACATATATAGACACATTTTTGTCTCAAAAATCCTTTCGGGCTCCGCCCCAGTGGCTCTAGAGCTCCCCATAATTTTATGAGTATTCTTATTTTTATGTCTATGGTAGACATACTATGGACATACTATGGTGACATATCTATGGTAGATGCTATACTACAGTATACCATAAATTATAGTAAACCAAAATTTCTTAAAACGTGTCCTCTCCCATTGTAAACGCAAAGCACGAGTATAACTGAAATAATCATTTTATACTTATACGCCAACCCAAAGGACGGGTACTCTGTTAGTGTTTAATAAATCTCTTAACAATGCATTGTTAAGATGGGATAAACTACACATTTTTTAGAGAAGAGGTATGATTTAAACAGTAAATATAGAACGACTGCACAATTGATACAAATCCCAGAAAGCACCGTTTTCGGACTTCACCTATAAATGTTACAGGACCCTTGAGGACAGAAGCAATCTTCTCCATACAATCTATATTCCACTAGCTGGATAACTTAATCCTTGGGGGATTGCAACAAAACTCAGGTACAACGGGGCCTCGATTGGTTTAAAAAAGTTGTCTCTTGGTTAAATTTAAAATAGTTTTCTTCTTTTGGAAGTATTTGGATCAGATACTTCAGTTGGAACTCACTGAACTGCCTCCTCGCATGGGTTACCTATTCTCAGATTAACCTTAAAAGTGAATAAGTGAAAAAGTGAAAAAGTGAATAAGTGCTTAGTGAATAAGCTATTACCGTCATGGTAAGATCTAGACCCGGGACAGATGTTCAAGCTTTCCCAATAAATTTAAATTACTATAAAAGAGCTCCATCTGACATTACAGTAACGACACATTTGAATTGGGAAAATTATTTGTAGCAACTTTTCAGTTTGATATATTATGCTCATTGGCTCTATCGAAGGTTCGATCCCCACACACCCACATAACATATGGATATGGACCGAGTTCCCAAAATCGTTAGAGTATCTCAGATTCCTCCTTCTTTGAAAAGGCGTAGAAGTTAATAATAATGAAAGAGATATACAAAAACATACCCCCATCGGAGCAAATCTGTAGACTAAGCGGTTTTCAATTGCCCAATTGGTTTTTTTTACTAAAATATTTCCTTAAAACTTTCAGATTTTTTCACTGTTTAACATTGAGATTTATGAGTACTTTTGCTGCTTCAGGGAAGGTAATGCAGTGTTTTTTATGTAAATGTTTAAAAGCTTACCAAGAAAATTAATGTGTTTGCCGAATTTGATCAAAATAAAAATGTTAAAAGCCCCCGTCGCAGGAGGCCTGCAGACCAAGCAAATTTCCTTTTGCTACACACTGCTAAGGGTATGCCTATATTTTAAGGTCTTATATATTATTGACAAATATTTTAACATTTGCTAACATTTAAAATTAAACATCTTAAACAAGAATTTATACACACAAAAAAAACTAAGTTTTCGTTTCTTAATTTTAGGTGTCATTGTTTCGTAATGTGACTTAAAATAGGTACCTACAAGACAATGCCAACCTCATATCAATGTTTTAAAACAATATAGACTTGATAATTTTAAAACGCTAAAATATTAATTATAATTTAACATTTAGAGAAAATGTCAGTTAAGAAACTAATGATAATTTACTTTCCCTAATCATAAGGAGAGTTCAAACATATATTTTTAAAACTAAGGATATAAAAATAATTTAATCCTTTATGGACGATCGTTAAGGGTGTTTGAGAACTATTAATAGCCAGTAGCAAGCGGTCTATTGGATCATTACAATGAGTTATCGTGTTCCTTCGGATAATTGCGATCGCGATAAATATTAATACTGAACGTTACTCGCTGGCGTCCGTTGCAGAAAGTATATGTATTATTTTCAGTTCATTGTTGTAAAATATATATTTGTTTATTGAGGAGGAAGTACTCCATAAAGAAAGTTCATATCTATCTAGTTGATACGTCATATCTTAGTAATATTACTACTAAAATCATAATAGCGTACTACATTACCACTTTTATAATTGTTATAATTTGGTTCGTGTTAATTAATTTATTTTGATAAAAATGCTTAACATATCAATAATACTTGAGAGTATTGACGAAGTTCTTTGAACTCATTATAAACAAATACCTAAGTGCCCTCTTGAAATAAATTATTTGATAAATAGTAATATCCATATATAAAGCCGAAAGTACCCATGAACTTATGGGAAAACTACAAGTCTCACTCCCATAACCATATACTTAAAATGTTTGTCATGACGGGAAAACTATCCATTATTTCCTAAATTGCCCTACAAGGTCGTAATTCCTCTCCAAAGGGAACTTTCTATATACCTAATGTTAAAAATACCTCAGCTGTATTTATTTGTATGTTACTAGCTGTAACCCGCGGGCTTTGCCCCGTTTAACTTCTTAATTTTCAAGATGATCTCGTTCGCATGGCTCAATCACGTCCTGGTTGAAGTTCGTTCGCTACGCTCACTCACCTTCAGGTTGGAGCTCCCACGCACGTCTGTTCCTAATGGCGCCATATTACGTTCCTAATCCAGTTACTTTTATAACTGTTTAGGAACA